CGCTGTCGTCGCACTATTTCGAAATCTGAAAGGATTCCTAAATCGATCTTATATTTTTCGTTGTTCGTTGCGTTGCAGCAGTTTCTTTTCTCGACAGAAATGGTGTTCCGATAAGATACTCACAGAAGTTGATTCGACGACGGCTTAATCCCTGCCACCCCGTCCCCTTTTTAATATCTTTTCTCCACGCAAGAAACGTCTTCGATCAGTATGCCTCGTTGCGTGCACTCTTAGCAAACTGAAAATGGCAACCACAAGCCGATGTAGACCATTCCTTGTCGGTAAGAGGCTACGTATACTGACTTCAACTGCGTGGCTGTCACTTTGTGGAAACTAATGGACTACGCCGCACGGACCACTCATCTCGACTGGCCGTCACGGGCACTCCAAACTCGAACGAATTTAACCGAATCCGTTCCTCGAAACACCTGAACATATTCAGCTTCTACAATCTATCTTGTAAACAATTTGTGGAGGCTTGCCATTTTTCTAAAATAAGACGTATTATACTGATTTAAGCAAAGTGTATTTGGGACAGCGATTAGAGGGACGCAATAGAATACATCTTAGCCATAATGCTGAATCCGCTGTAGGCCAGAGCAGCTTTGCTGATAAAACTCGGAGAATTGACAGAACGAAGACGACAAGAGTTTTTCATTCTGTTATTACGTTAATTTACATCGGCTTTCAAAATAAATGAACGTTCCACGTCATCTAATCGTTACCGCTCGGGATAAATGTGAAACGAAGTAAATCTCAACGGTCTCTAGATTGCTCAGTTGAAATCAAGCAACAATCGCTAAACTGTCACAGCCTACTTCGGCTCCGCTACCTTTGGCTAGGTAGCGTTGTTGTTTGGCATTTCCTAGGGGAAATCAAGCATATTGTCCCTTTGCCAATTCCTCTACACTGATTTCACCTATACAGAACAGCAGGCGCGAAAAAGCTCATGGAAGAACGCCTCGAACAACTTACCACAAATAGCGACAACAACAACAACTGTGACAATATTGGAAAGCTATAATGATGTCGACAACCAGTTCCGAAACAGATTATGCGGCAGCAATTGAGCTCAACAACCCTGTTTCCCTTCAGTGATGTTAATAGTATCTCGGTGACGACGGCTGAGGTTCTACCGAGGACAGTATCACCACTCAGCTTTTCACGAGTCCCGGATTTGCAGAGGCAGGATAACTGTCAAAGCCCAAGATACCAAATCATGGGCCACCTTGTTTGTTTGGAAGAGGCTTCGTATGAAAAGTACGTGTTGCCATACGTAAGTAGTAGTAGTAGTAGTAAGAAGTAGTAGTAGTAGTAGTAGTAAGTAAGTAAGTAAGTAAGTAGTAGTAGTAAGTAGTAGTAAAGTCCAAGGTTATCCAGCCAAACGTTACGGGACAACTTAAACTTATAGTTCGTTCGTTTTTATCCAACATTCAAACAAAGAAAACACTACACACACTAAAAAAAAAATAGTTCCTTTTTTTCGTAGTTTTTTTTTCCTGTTAGAGATGCTAAGGCTTTGTGAAAGCGGTATAAAGGCAAGTCGATGAGTCGATCGAGTAGATGAGTTCGCGACACATCTTTTATGTTCTCAATCTACTTTCGCTATTGCTGTCCGCGAGATCAAGACGCTAACTTTGATAGGCCTGTTCATGTTATTTGAAACGGCTTTTTTATTTTAAGAAAAAAAAAACCGGTTTTCTGGAAATCGTTATAGCGTGCTTCCTTGGAGTTGTATAAGAAAAGCTACTGGATGCAGTTATAGTAACAGCCTTACCGTGGATACGTCTTGAGGTAATTAAGATCGAAATCTAGCTAGCAAAACTTCGAATAATTCGAAAAAATCCAGTTAAGAGATGAGAGAAAGAGAGAAATGAAAGCATCTAGTTAATAAAATACATTCCTTTAAACACTTTTTAGATAGCGAAAATCCATGAGACGTCTCGAACACGTCGGGCAAATGTCGTTGTATGCGCCGACCACAAATGTTAATAAATAAAAAAAAACTAAGGTCGGTCTGGCTAGCTAACTCTAGATAGTGTGCTTTTGGCTAATTCCTACAATTCGGTGGTGCTAGCCCTACAACAACGCTGCTGGCCGTCGCCATCACGTTGCTAAACGCTTGCTTTCAATTGGTAACATGAAAAATTCCCTCTACCTGGACTTCATCGTAAAAAAGGATACTGTTCGGTCAGGTGAATAATTTGTGGAAAAAAAATTGCATGAAGACCTTTACAATGCCGCCAGGAACGTCGCTGTCGACGTTTTTGCCCTATTGTTTAACGTGTAACGGGTAAGCACATAAGGTTATCTAGTTTCGTTTTACGGCGAGCTTTTGATCGGTACAAACGTCGACGTCTTCTGCATAGATCCTCCTTGAAGAAAGGTGTGTTATTTGGCTTTAAGAACTAACTTTGGAGAAAAATTTGCACCGAAAGACACAGCAGGTATAACTTTTGCACATACGCTCCTAAAAAATAAGCCGAAAAAGTGATTTCACAAACGGACCCTATTTAGATAGACACTACCAGCCCTAATAAATAGAGCTGGTGGATAAAGTTGGCCCGAGAGTGAACTCTAGATAAATGTAGTTTTGTATAATTAATTTAGTTTGAACACCTGTGTACGCTGGACCTTCATATAAACGTTAGAAATATGCTAACACTTTTTCTAGGCAGCGCTGATGGCCATCTTCTCGCATTGATAGACGGCTGGTTTCGATATGCGTCAGTATACGCGTCTATACGTAAGGGAAGATATATCAGTTGCTAAAAATAACTTATTTGCCAAAAAAAAATCCACAAAAACTCAGCTTATCTCGGTCCGTACAGCATGCACTTTGTCTAGTAGCTTGTCTATGTTCATAGGATGTATCTTCTTGTAGTAACAATAATGATCAGTATAAGTAAATACCTGTCAGATAGCAACCTTAATAATAATCCACATAGATTAACAAAGAGACTTGTTGCATGCGTGTAGCAAGTTTGTTTCAATGAGACAAACTATTGATAATGAACGAAGAACGCTTGTACGTTCGGCATACTGTATATACAGAATATACATACAGCATGCCGATCCTGTAGCGTTCTTCCCATTAGTGCAGCAGTACAGTGATAATTATACTCGGAAAAATCGCAGCGAACTATTCATTATTCTCATACCTCATATGAAGTATTAATGGTCATCATATTATTTGATGGTATCGTGTTATATTCTCCAAAATCCATGTCTATAAAAAAATATCATTTGGTAAAAAAAGAAAAACTAGTTTTACGCAAATCTGGCCGGCCAACTATAGTTCACCACCGTAAATAAAACTGCGTCACAAAAACCTCTCTACGTAATTTGATTTGCTACTGGTTTGTGATAGATAGAAAAAGATCACTCTGTTGACAGAGTTCGGGACCGTGCTGGAAAAACCAATTGAGCGCTAATATATCGCGCTACCTGCAGAGCATATTGAAACATATACAAGCGTTCTCGTGACCACTGTCATTCAGCAACGATATGGCGACGATAGCACTGTAATTCAAGTGCCTCCATCTTAAGGAAGGCCGCCGCTTACGCACCGTTACTGAGCGTGAAAACATCGATTTTAGTATATAAACATAGGGGTTAAGTGGGTTGAGTTTTTGCGGGTTTTCGGTGGATATAAAAATACCCGCCTCCTCTATAGGCAAAAAAGGACACTATTCGGTTAGGGGACGACGTTGAGCCTCATAATGCTCCTTCCAAAATGTAGCCCGAACGCAACGAATGGAAAAAAAATTAGCTCCATGATCACACAGGCGAACATCATCGGCAACAAGTAACGCTCTGTTCTCACTCTCCCTTTATGTTCCATAAGCTAAATCTAATTATTTTAACTCAACATTGGAAAATAACAGATTGAGCTGTCGGTAAATATACAGTGGACATATACGGATTTGAGGTCACGTGAAATGACTAAATTGGATAAAATCTCGAATTATACTTGTTAGTTGTTGGCGTTAGAGTTTGGTTTAAAGAACAAACTATTGATATCGCGACAATAACGAGGTGAGAATTCTACCGATGCAGATGGGCGTGTAGAATCGAAAACTGTGAACTCTGATAAAATACGCATTGAAGGCCTCAAGAAATCTTGAGTGCTCTGCTTTTTGTATGTCTTAAAAACAAAAGATTTCCTCAGATAAGCCCAGGAGAACAACGCTAGCAATAGTGTGTCGATAACAAGGGTGAGCGTAGACACAAGCAAAATGTAAAAAGGTATAATTATATTGACGCTTTTAACAACAAGTCATTTGCAGCAGTGCTCAATCGATTCCAGGGCAAAAGTTTCCCAGCAGTCAACATAATTATGTACCAAAGACGAAATGTTTGTGAACGATGAAAGGCTTTTAGGCTTAGTTGAACCACTAATTCTAATTCATGTCGATATCGCTAAGCCTGAGCAACACAGCCTGTTAGAACCGCACCTAGCTGGGTCCTTTTATGCTGTTTTTAACACTGTTTATTAGTTAACTAGCAGTAGGTCACTTCCGGGATTTTATATAGCCTACGCGAACCGCAGTGCAAGTTCTTAATAGTGCACATACGCGTTAGCAGTGAAAACGGGCGCTGTTTCATCGCGTGTCCACGCTACATCGAACGACCATGAAGTTTAGCAGGCCACTACGTTACCACTGTAGTATTACGGGGTAGTGAGTATATAACAATAACAGGAACTGTTGTATTCTTTATGTTTGGGTTAATCCGCTCATGCCGCAGCGGCAGTCCACACTAAGACAGATCCGAGATAAGCTCGTGTCCTTTAGACGCAAAAAAACTAGGGAAATATGCCACCCAGACCTCGATGAATCTATATATTATGTAAATTCGGATTGCCGCATCAGGGGGTAGTTCAATTACCAGGATCAATGATGGAACAGGGACGTTTGACATGCGTATCATGCGTTGGAAGGACGAGCCCCGTGCTGCCATATTTATTGTGTATTATGTTGTTAATAAAGTATCAGATAAACAATTTTAATAAAAAAAATTTAGTCAACTTTATTTGTTAGACTAGCTTAAATTTTGAGGCGGTGGTTGAGTATTTAACGTGTTCAAGGACTATATAGGCTTCAGAGTCTATAAGAGTCTGCGTGTCACATCTTGTCGGCTATATCTTTGTCGAATTGCGGCAAACGTAATTCCAACATTCGACTTGAAACGACGTCATATGAAAATTACAGCTTTGCTTTAAAAAAAAAAAGCATTTACTCGGTGCTTTGATATATATACATGTAGTAGAAATTTGCGTTTTGCCGATCTCCTCTTTTTAGCTTGCTCAGGTCGTCTTCCATTCATCTCCTACGTTTACATCTTATACTTTGCCTCTGATCACGACGACAGGTGTCCGATCGCAACCTCTCCGATCATACGTCTAGTACTCAGTTGGCTACTAACATCTTTAGCAGACACGTGAACGAGAGATTCACCCAAAAACAGCTATGTTAATATCAACATTACATTCACCCTTGTACTGGTTAGTCTGGCAAGGTAAAAAGAAAAGTCGTTTGATTTCTCTCCATCGCTCACTATAAAAGTCAAGCGTACGAAAAATATTCAATGATATCTGTAGATGATTATTGTCTACAGGGTCACTACTTTATTGCTATACACATCTGGGAACTGGCTTTTCAAGTAAAGCCACTTGAGGCTAATGCTATCCACAGATAATATGAAATGTTTACAATAAAAAAAATCGAGCCGCTACTTAGAAGAGCCGTAATTCTACCAGGCCTTTTCATACAAAGTTCATAGGCCTATACAGGCCTGCTAATTAGGCTACCGTCCTCGTCCAGCCGGAATAATTACGCCGAGGCTCCGCAACTGTTGAAGAGCGTTTTCTGCAGAATAGGGCCTATCGTTCTCTTGCTGTCTGCGAAGTCTTACGACAAAATCCATATGGTCTTGAACTGCTTCCTCTAGTTCTTGTCGTGTAGTCCAAGAATGCAGACGCATCACATCAAAGTGCTCGCCTTCCACTGAAGCACCGAACTCTTTCAGACAACTTCTAATCTTCTTTTTACCACTGCGTCGAGATGTCGCTGTGGTATCACCCGAAGCAAAGTCTCGTGTTCTACACTCTGTCTGAGGTGCTAACTCAGCGTAAGATTTCATATGACGGCAGGTTTCTGTCATTTGTGAATCCCAATCGAAGTCATTGCTAACAAGATGTTTTTCACCTTTCTTTTTACTATGCTTGGATAATTTATGACGCTTTAGCAAAGCCTTTGTTTTTTTCGGGGGTCGCTTGAAGCAATTCTCTTCGATCGCTGTTTGCGCGCAGTACTGGTCAAGCGATTTTAGCGAGCCTTTTGCTGCGGTCGCTTCACTGCAAGGCGATCTGACGCCACTGTCGTCCTGATCGACTATATCAGGTAAGCGTACGGGCATTTCAGTCCGCGGTAATGGTTCTGGATTCTCGCGCAAATCCTGCGGTTGTAGAACGAATCGATAATCCGTATCTTCTATGTTTGTTTGTATAGACAAGCTTGTGGAGGCTTCGATTTCAATGTCATCAGTCGCTGTTAAGCTACTGTAAAACGGCTCACTAACGTTAACTGGGACAAAATTATGTGTGTTTCGATCGGAGTATGTCACTCGGGGGGCGCTTCGAGGTTCGCTGGCAGAAACCTGCTCACATGTTACTGATTCAGGAGGTGGCGAGGTATCACATATTGTCCAATCGGGCTCTGGGGATGATCCTACTTCTTCAGTGCCCACTGTTACATATTCGTGTACTTTGTCTTGATTTACAGTCACCTCGTTCTCCAAAATGTCAAAGTCAAAATCGGAGAGATCCGAGTACACTCCTGAAACACCGCGAGTGTGAAGGTTACGCTAGACGATGTGTGCACCAAGCTAAATAGGTGCCTACACGATTGACTTATAATCTGTTAGGTGCGTTTAATTTTTTTTCCAGGTAAACAACAGCGTATAGCCCCAACAAAAGCCGCAAACCCGAACCGGGACAGCACTGTACGCTTTGACGGCTAAAAAGGGTTACATAATATAAACACTCCTGCCATTAACAAAACAAATCGGATCAAATCTAATAGTGCCTAATAAAAACCGGCGTTTTTTTTCTTAATACAATATTGCAGATACTGGGTTAAACAGTTACCTATTCCCGTATATAATTGATCTATCTATTTATATTGTTCTCTCTTACTTGGTAATAAAACATTTCCAACCAGTTGGCTTCACCAACGGCACAGCGAAAATAATATGTTACGATGCGGGGCGTATGGGCTTTACTAAACTCTACCTGAAATTGATGAGATCTTGGACGATTCAGACCCACTGTCGCTTGCTTGATCTCCGTTCCGACTACTAGAACTGCTTACGTCCTCCCAAAGTGAATCCATCTTACTGTTCTACAGTGAACCGTATTTGCATTGTGAGATCGCATTATGGCAAGTGAAATCCAGTAATTCTAGAACAGCGCATTTGTCTACTGCAGCAGACAAATTCAGAAATACGACGACAACAAAATACAAAACAGGCCTAAACATTTTATCTCTTATTCTTGATGCTATTATGCCAGCTACTTGTGTTACTAAAGGAACAGTTTTGTCTTAACTGAGAACCTCATGCACTAATGGAAACTAAAGGTCGGCGTAAAGATTAGTTCATGTATAGACGATAATGATATGGATTGTAATAGTAACCGAATCCCGTACTCGTAAAAACGTTTCGTGCATCCTGAAAAATGTTATAACGGTTCGGCCAGCAGAATCGGGTCGGGAAAACCCAGAACAACAACGTCGAAATAGGTGCAGGATTAACCTTCTTATAGCGATATCTTTTTTTTTTTGTTCACTTACACAACACAGTGGAACAACTGTGACTCGCATAAACTACGACTCGCAGATAAATGTTGGGGAAAAAGACGACAGAGGCTATCAATTACGATAGTGTCATATTTTGCCCAAATGACGTCAGCCCCATAAGCTTAAGTTATTCTAGAAGAGAATAACTAAAGCAACTCGTATATTGGCAAGGCCTTCAACTTATGAAGTCAAGGTCGGAACCAATTACCGTAATTGTGTGCTTCCTGTGTAGCGGTCTCCTTACTTCGATAGTTCGTTTCTGAAATTTACCACTCTGTTGGTAAATTTCGAACAAGCATCAAACTTTCACGAGGCCCATCGAATGCCAACCTTAACTGTACTACAGTTATAAGGCAGGACCGGAAGCTTTGTTCCTTTCGCATTTTGGTATAGCCAGTACCCACGTGCTGCACGTGTTTTGTTCATAAATGACGATACTGCAAAATTAACCTTTGCTAAACTAGACTGTAGTCTAGGAGCCTTTACTTACACTCCTGAAAGAGGAGTGGCGAAGGCGAGTGTGCGTCAAGGAGTATATCCTATTCTAGCCAATATTGACGCTGCATGGATTAGAGTACGGGTCCACCGATCGTAACAAAATGCCGAAATCCCATACAACTTCGCGCACTGTTTTTGACAGTTGCCATTAAAAAAAAGTTGCAGGACCTAGTGAACGAGCTACTGGACGCGCTCGGGCTCCGAACCGTAACCCAATGTCCTGCTTAAATATTTTCTTCTTGTCAGTGCGAAACCGCCCAGGCAGTCTAACGAAACTTCGAAATTGTTCCGTCACCAAAGAGGTCATATTTAAGTCTAGATACCTTTGGAGCGATACACCAGAGTAGCACATCAGATCCTATTATGATTCGAGGTTCCCTATTGAGCTCGACGGTTGAAAAGTCCTGTGGCCACTGTCTTTGTTAAATCGGAACTTCGGCAAAGCTATGTTGGACGTGTTTCGTTTATTTACCACGTATTTGCAATATTTTGCACGAAAACACCTAACAGATCTCCATAAGTGACCAGGTAGCTGGAAACCAATAGCTGAACCACTCAAACTTCGTTCTTATTTCGTTCTTGGTTATCAGACAACCATCTGATAACAAGCATTACCGATTAGATACTTTCATGTATGAACTCGAGGCTGATGCGATGGTTACGCACAAATGTTGTAAACTGAAAGCGAGCAAATAGAAGGTCGATTTTTGGCAGCACTGCCTGCTCGGTGAGGCCAATAAAGATTTGCATAATTGATTAGTGCGTGCGAAATATTTTTAAGCAATGCTAGATATATATGTGGAAATATGAAAGAAACACCTCTAGAGTTACTTCAAGTGGACAGGATCAGTTAGGGGACTCCTCTTTTGTTTGAATGAACTAAAACCTTATGAACCGATCTAAATTGTAAGAAAAACGTTGGCATTCATGGTCCTTTTTCAGTGCTGAATTTAAACCCAATTTTCATCATAAGAGATCATATGCTGAACGGAACCAACATTCAATAGTAAAAATCAGGTTAAATGTTAACAAAGTATAACAATGAAAAATGAGACTGCCAAATCCAGTGCTACATTGTTGAAAATCGGACAAGATAGTTTTTCATTACCAATGCCCAATTTGGTATAGACTGACAATGGAATTTACTCAATGTGGGGACAAAATAAATACACAATGTATTACAAATCTTGAAAGAAACTTGTGGACTACCAAGAGTACAAGTGGTTGTTTGATACCTGATGCAAAGCGTTGAGTTCAATGTGGCCTAAAATTTAATGAAGAAAATAATTTTATCAGTTTTTCATTTCAAAGTATCTGTTGAGCGGCCAGGGTAATAAGTAATTTGAAATAAAGTAATTATCCGTCACGCTTTAGATAAAGGTGCGTTCAGCGAAAGTATAACGATGCTGGGCCCTAGTTGAAGTTCCTTTCCGAACGCAAATAGATAATATAAAAGCAATACTCAAGCAGTAGCACATACCCAAGGAGCACCAAATCGCTACTATTTACACGGTGATTCATATTAATTTCTACAACATACGGAACAGATTATACAGCATCGGATTGAGTCGATCAAGCGCATTTAATTCGTATTTATGGACAAATAAAAATTTCGTCCTTATTTTGCCATCATATACCTGACTTATCGTGGTCACCGCATTATGCACTTACTGTTAAAAGTTAAGGATTACTCTTTCCATTGACAATCGTCACGGTAACTTCCCGGAGTTTAAGCCACGCACCTGTATCAGAAATCTTCGTATACCCTTAGATGGAACCTTTCCTCCGTTGTATTCAAAGTCCATTTTTAAATACCGCTCTAGTCGCCAAACGAAACCCTTTTGGATTGAACACTTCCCAGCTGCCACTTACTTTAGCACAGTCGTTCAGTCCTATAAAACTGTTTAAGAATTGTTTTATATACCAACTTCTGTTGTAACATCACTGTTACTATTATTATAAAAACAAAGCGCAGTTGATCGTTGTCGTATACCTGTTACGTATGTCGTCAAGCCAAGAAACTAAAAAATCGAGCGACTTGTTAAATTAAGTATAGATGCATATTCATAATAGAATTGAAATGTGCATGACATCACCTCGGAACGTGTAATAGTTTGAATTAGGAATGTTTTATTTGTTGCTCTATTACTCTATAGCTATTAACTGGAGCCATTTTGCCAGCATTGGTGATTCTCTTCGATAAAGCAGTGAAGGCGTGCAATATTTTATATTCGCACATATCTGTGTTCAATTGTTCCACATATTGTCGTTTCCGCCCTTTTCCCATAAAGAAACAGATGACATAGCGGCAAATACTGACATGGTACTACATATATGCTACATCTGTTAGCGATTTTAAAATCGAAAGGCTTCCGACAGCTTCGGCCTTGCACGGGACTTATTACAGTACCGGTTAAGATTATAATCTTTCCATTCAGTAAGTTCTCCGGTAGGACTTAATTAATCCGATGTAATGAATTATTCTTAGTATTTCTCTCTGTCTCCGTTCGGCTCGCCCTTACGTAGCACAGACAAAGAGCGCCCACCAGTTCACGGTACGAGCGAACCATCTTAAAACGGCGTAAGTGTCTTGCTGTTTGGGTTTTACAAACGTTTATTATAGGTTGAATTATTGTTAGTATTAAATACAAGGAATACGTGTGTTAATACAGTTCTATAACTTCATGGATTTCCATTCCTACCATCTTCGATCGTTACGTAGCTAAACTCAACGCACCTTCATTGTATGAAACGTTTTTAAGCAAAAACCGTCAGTTAATTTACTAGTTATGGCTCCATACAATGGCTAGTTTCTAGAACAGCAATACTGCGTCGAAAAAGACAGACCGTATATGGAAAACTATGATTTGGCAGTGAGTTCCTTTAGGGCTCCTTCGTATTAACGTTATTTTTGTTCTCGTCATATTTTTCTTCGTCGGCTTTCATAGGCTCTTTCTCAGTTGTTACCGCACTATCGGCTGGTGCTGACGCGGCAAGAGCGTTGATGACAGGCTCAACAACTGAATCTACGTCTCTTTCGGATACTGCGGCAACGGACGCTGGGGTAACATCTCCATTACTCAAAGATCGGGGGGGTGGAAAGATAATGGGTGGCACATACGGTGGCATACGAGGTACAAAGACGAATCCGGCCTCACCGTAGACCCATCCATGACCAGGACGATAAACTGGGCCCCACAGTTTGGCTTGAGCAACCTGCAACAGCAGAACATCATATACGTCGTTTGTGTATCGCTTCTAGCCTGGAACAACGTGACTTACTACGAAGTGGTTATGGATATCACATCTAGAATACCAACTAAAGCTATAAAAATATAGTTTAATGTAACGAAAACCGCTATCTGAAATCGCAAATGTCTGCACTTAGGTTTTTCAGGCGGACATTTGCTTGGGCATGGTTCATTCGAAATAAGAGAACGGGTTGTCTGAACCACCCGTTGTTAATAAGCCACGTGAATTGTACGTCTGTAGATTTTTATATTGACTCGAAGTTACTGGTTTTTGAGAACAAAAAAAATGAAACGTTTCAGATACTAATAACCCACTCAGTTGCGCATTGCACTGAAGGTCGACTTCAAAATTTTCACTAGTCGTCATTGTTAAGCTATCTGAAACAACAACAAGCCTCTCGGTACACAAGAAGCATATGCGCAGCAGAGTTCTCCCACGTTTGTGGTCCATTTTTCAAGTTACTATCATAAAATATACCTTACTTCTTATATATATATATATATGGATTAATGCAATATACATACTATGAGGCTTATTGGAAAACGAGAAACTTATTTTCTAATGTCTAACCTAGGCATATCTCCTCATTCAAAGTAAACTACATCAGGTTATAACGTATGTGTAGGCAGTGTCTTTTATGTTCCTCTTTTCTTTTGAAGTCGGGCTGCAAAGCACAATAGTGGCATATTGGAACTCAGTGTACAACCTATACCAGTTGGTCATCTGAAATCGACAATGAGCGCTTGGAAGCACGTTTGAACTCGTAAACTGACCGCGAAAATAAATTGCAGTCATATGGTCATTGACAATCACGTCAAATCCATGAGGTTTACTCAAAAATAAAAACCTGGATGCCCCACAGACTGAACATAATTACCATCGTTTCCCAATATCTCACTTGGCACCGACTGGCATGCAGCCACAGTAACAGGGTTCCACATAGAATTATTATGGATAACGTGGTGTCTTTATGTCAATATGAAAGAGATAAACGAATGGATAGTACCAAGAAATTAGCTCCAGCTCTGATTTGGTGGAAGAGAGGTGGCCTTATACACTGGACAGTGTTTGAAAAGGACAAGACCGTCAACAAGTACTCGTTTGTGGTTAAGTTGGGCTGATTATGGTGCAATAGCTATTCAACAAAAAAAATCGACAGAGAAAGCAAACGTATCTTTCACCGCTGTGACCACACATGAGAAAAATAAGGCAAGCCATTTTACAGAAGCTTGACTTGAAAGTTCTTTTGTATTCACTGTTTTCTTTAGACCTCACGCCAACGGATCTTTTGCGATCACTGGCAATTGAAATTTTAAACATAACAATTAAGAATGAAAAGTGTCTCAAAAAAAACTGCGCGAATGGGTTCTTCATTACGATACCTGAAAATTACTAGCGAGAAAGAGTAAATTGATTAGGAGAGGAGCAACACATGTGAAGAGTAACGATAAATATATAACACATTGGTTTGTTGCTACAACTTAAATTAAACGCAGACAGCTTTTTTGACAGACAAATAAATGTTCTTACTTATATCACAACCTAATATTTCCGTTGAAAATATTGCGTATTCAATAACTGATACAAGATTAAAGGTTCAATCACCTGTTCCATAGGAAAGTCCCCCTCAGGTAATGTCTGGTTTTCAAGGGGAACCGGAACGGCTATAAATGTCCAGAGGCCATTAACGTTTCGCTGGGGACCTAGCGGACCACCAGTTCGAAATCCAGGAACGTAAAAAAAGTTCGACGGCTTCCGAAAGCCTGTCGTAGTTGATCCGCCACACCAACACGCAAAAAGGATCGCGAAGGCTGTCGAAGACATTAGCATCTCTGGATTTTTAGCACAACGAACTGGAATGAAGTACAACAGATGATGCTTAAACTTTCTACCGAAGTATGGTTGACTTTTAGACCGAGACTTTTTAAACTGGTCTTTAGAAGAGCTGGCGCGATACTCTCACAGAGTGCACGCTAAAGAGCTCCCACGGGCGGCAACGCACAGTTCTTTAGCAACACAATTGTTACTGTCGAGATCGACTGATGGCTGAAGGCGTTTGGCTTTTTATGAAGCATGTTACCTCCCACGTAGTGGTCTCACTAAATCGAGGTGAGCAAGAAGGGAGAGTACAGACATTTTGCAGCGTATGAAAATCCGAGGGTAACTTTCTTCGCCTGCCTGCGTTTCGATGTGTCTATGACTATGTGCGCAGAGCCGTATTAGCCCGAACTCGTCCTCACGAGGTTGTTTTCTGCTAGCGTTCGAGTTGTGTAAGCGTGTGCATTTATGTGTGTCCGTTAGTACTAGAACTGTTGTAGTGTCCACCCGGATTGCAGAATCTATGTATCGGAGTTGTTTCATAATTACGGAGATCTTGCACGCCGAAAGCTCAATTCATAGCGGCAGTGCGTTCCGCACAAAAAAGCGCCAGCGATGATGTGTGGATGTAGTAAACTTCTGTGGACTGTGGAGCGAAGCGAAATCAAATCGAAGAATGCTTCACCGATGTGTTAAATTTCTTCTGGAACTACTGAAGTGACAAGTCGAAGAAATATGAGCGGCAGTAGAAGTTGGGCCGCTTTGTAGCAAAGCAAACCACTGCAATCCGATGGGCTGAGGGTCGCGGCTGTAATCGTCAAAGCCAACGCGACACTAACAACCGTCAAGAGGCTCACAATTCCAATTGAGTGGCAACGATAATGACAAGTGAAAATAAAAACAAAAATATCAGAAAAATAACGCGTCTCTAACCAACAACAGCGAATCTAATTTTTCTTTTTTTAGCAGAAAATCGCTTCTGATAAACATCAAAATGTAAACTTCAATCTAAATTTTTGTTTTAAAAAAGAAGTTTTAAGTTTAAGTGTTTAAGTTTAAGGAGGCCGTTAACAAAAGAAGTTTTAAGAAGTGTTTTTTTTTTTAAGAAAATTGATTCAAATAAACGTCAAAAGTTAACAAGTATAGCGATTTGATTAGTTATACAAGTACAACAATCAAATTATATCTAGAGAAAGTATCTTGTTAATATGCAACTGCTGGATTTATCCTTCGACTCATATAGACGTACGTTGCATAATTTATGAATGAATTGACTATCTGATCCAATCTCTAATCTAAAACGGTGTTATGGGCAAATGCTTAATAATGGGTATTGTCAATTTGATCAGATCACTTACTGAGCATTACTTTAAATTCAATATAATGTAGTTTATTACATTTATATTTCGTTTTTAAGTAATCAGTAGCCTTCTTAATAAAATGAAGCACATAGTCCATCCTTTCTTGTACATTTTAACTGTTCGACTATCTTTAACTAAACTTGTAACAAGCATAATACTGTGTTTGTTCTCAAGCGCGTTCAGATCAGTTCGTGTATGCAATTGATTTATCCTATAAATAAATATTTTTTCAGGCGGCTTTCAATTGCTAAAGGTAACTAAATTTCAAGAAAGGAATGATAGAATAAAATGTGAGGCCATGTTCACTTCAGGTGTTTGCCCCTTCAACAAGTGCAGAATATTTCTGTCAGCGAATCACGGATATTTTTTCAGTACCCACTACAAGTTGTATTCTTCGAATAGCGCTCTATATCAATCTGTGTTTACTACAGCAATCGTCATATATTGCGAGCTTAAGGAGCTTCTATTCGCGTGTGTTTGACATTATTAATAGGATAGACTTGAACTCCGTATAATCCACAACTTCAAAGCAAAAACTGTGACCGATGTAAGTGGCTGGTAGGCCCATTGCAAGTAACGCTTTGTTGCAAGTCGAAGGAGTGCGATGCCATATAAAGTCCTATTTGAGGATCATCAGTTTTGTAAAATCAATTGTCTATAAACAAAGTATTATTATATATTTGAGCTACAAAACAACACAAACCGTTTTGTGAAATAAAAGTGCTTGCTAGGCGATTATTAGCGAGCTTACCACGAGCGACATATAAAAGACGCGTTGTTTTTAATCATAAGTTTTTAAAAAATCAGAAGAAAATTTTAAACGTTACTTTTATAGGAGAGCCTAACCTGAAACTTGAATATCTATGTTATGCAATTGACTTCTTTATATATTTCCTGCATACAGAATCGAATTCTTATAAGCATTTTCTCAGAGATCGAGCCCGTAGAGCATCTGAAATGAAAACTCAAATATGCATAACCAAAATTGTCATTTGGTAAGTAAGAGCGTCGTGCTAAACCTGTGTAAATATCCGTGTACTGCATAACCCAAAAGATTGCTTTTGCCTCTATGTATTATGAGAATAGCTACGTTTAATAACTATCGTTCCGTAGCTATGCTGAGCTCTTCCTTTACGAAAATAAAGAGCCTGAATCTGTGTTCTTACCGCGGAATGTAGTGTAACTTTTTTATTCTCATATAAGCTGTGCAACATATGGGTAAGCTATAACCCAATTACCAGCAAATGAATAGATGCAAATAAATATTTATTTATGAATACCTATAGCCAAAATTATTCCTTTCCTCACGCACACGCTGATTCTTACATGCACATCGTTTGTCCTGCGATTCGCCCGGTCAAGCTGCCGCCTTTAGCGCCTATAGATCAGCGTTATCAGCCACAGCCGTCTGCTGACGGGAGGTAGCTGCTAATTGATTGTTGTTTGAGTTTTTTATGTAGCAAATGCGTGCGGTGTCCTCTGCGACTGAATGCACTTCTTTCTCATGAATTCATTTGGAACTTGGGATCGTTACCAATAATAAATCTGAAGATTTTTTTCAAATATGTAGATTTTTGTGATCACGAGATCATCGTCACAGTGAAATATACAGTTTGCTTCATCTATTATTAATACGTGAGTTACATATCGAGTCTACCAAAATATTTTAGAGATCCATATATATAAATATATATATATGGATCTCTAAGACAATGAATTAATACATACTTGTTTCTGTTCGTTGTTGAAGGCGTTGTGCACTTTGTTTTGTATTCCATGCATTGGTCTCAATGGTAAGTTTGTTTGAATTAGTCGAAAATACGCTGGTACGTACAATTACTTTTACAGTACTTTACGTGAGTAAAGACACTGTTTACTAAAGTGGACAATCTAGCCTGATTATTCGTGGTAATGGCACAATCTGGCCGAGGAAGTGGTAAAGACGCTTCGCAGGAAGCCTTTGATGTGGTTCAAGAAATGTCACAATTGTTGAACACGACGCTGGATGCCCGGGCTCTCCACTTATGCATTCGGTTACTCGAACACGGTGCAGATCCGAGAGCGCTGGCCGAAGTTGTTCGAACACTTCAGGTAAGTCTATGTTTGGTTTACCATGGTTTAACGTTTTTTTTACTGTTTTTTAAAATTGTTTATACTGTTTTCTAACATCTCTTGCTTATAGCAATTATTGCGTGAGATCGATTAAGAAATGGAATTCTTTGTTTTCTACACTTGATTTCAGCCTTCGCTGGGTAAGTTCTCAGCGAATGCATTTCAAATAGATCAAAACAAATCTCTTAGAATATTTATCACATGACTCAAAGAAAACATTTACAGAGTGTTGATCACCTGTAAGCTCCAAATGTATTTTAAAGGATGTACTTCTATAGTTTATGCAAATGACCACAGTTTAAAGTACGTCATAGTAAATTCCTTATATTTACGAAAAAAAAACGAAAAAAAAAGGTATGCATCTGAGAATCACATCGATGTTGATAAAACGCCGATCCGTAGCCTTGTTTCTCTTTATGAAACAGCAGCACAATTCTGACTGTTTTTCAGGTATCGCAGTCATCGGATCGACAAAGTCGACAGACGCGTAGTTAAGCGGCTACATTTAAAAGACTGGCTCCAGCGGGGAAAAAGCTCAATGTGACGCCGGGAAACTTAAAATTGAGACTTTTTTTTTTAATGAGTGTTTAATCTGAGATGCTTTCTCATAGGTGCGAAGAAGATCTTCTTTCGAGCGTCACAAAGCCGTCCCACGTTTTATTCAATTACATAGCTTCAACACTCTGAGTCGACGAAATATTCTGGTCAATACGATATCGTTGTTGAAAATCTGTTGAAACTCCAGCAGGTCGACGATCTGCTGTGTAAATATATATGCACCTCTATTGATAAACGTAAATGAATTTAGATATGTAGTACATGATAGATGTAAATAAATAATAATTATTTACAAATGTGTATACCAAGGATTCCGACATTAACAATTACATTTGTTCAATACGTCTGCGGTACTATAATATGACGCTTAGCTCTTATTATTATAAAGAGATGATAATACTAATTGTTGCCAATTATCACAGTTATTTGTTGTAGATATTAAAACAATGCCTGCGGGTCAGATTTATAATAAGTTCGGTTCCTCTTAGATGCGCAGTTCGGTAGCCCACTTTTGAAATGAATTTCTCAGCTGCACACTGTCCACATAGTAATGAAACGACAACTTGAAAACTGAGCTTATCCCAACACAGTTGCAAACCTAGCATACGGTATCTGCACAAGAACTCTTATTTCCAACGTACTGTGAAATCTTTGGTCATGGAATCTCAGTGTATGTAAATGTTTCTAAACACTGCTATAGTTTCTCTCTGTTAGTATTTATTAAAGTGGCATAATGAGCTTAAACAAGTTCATTCATCAAGAGCTGATTATTCATACTAAATTTTAAAAAAAAAACTGCACTTTAATATATCGTTTTGCTCAGCTAAGGGTTTCTTAATTAATGACAAATGGAGTCAAGCTTTTCGGATTAATACGAAACCAAAGATCCTCAACTGTTTTTTTTGCGACGAAGTGGTTAGGAGATGACGAACTAAAAACGACAAATGGATCCCACATGTTCAGTTTAGATTTTATGCAATTTGAACTCCCACGTCTATTAGCAAGCTGTAGGCCATCTGCAGAGTTGTCATTTACGCTAATATATACTGCATATAGATTGCAAACTTTAAGAGTAACTGAGTACAATCGATTGGTCGTACTAGCTTCCAAGTATTTAAGTGATTTATCACGATGTGTACTGCAGAAGATAGAGAGACTAAAACTTCTTATTTCTAAAGAAACTAAAGAAATCATATTTCGTTAGTGTAGAAAATTTGGTGCAGCAAATACTTAGCGTTACAGTAGAAATATAACAATTTTAAGGAGTATTCAGCAATATCCGTTTTATTAATAGATACAGTTCTATCGTTAAAGTCGGGAACTAAAGAGGCGTTAAACCCGTTAGTCTGGTTTTAAAATGGTCTAATTATGGCCTACGTCTTCTTCGTCGTTGGCACCTCCTTTCTCATCATTACACTCCTCGGCGTCAATATCATCTTCACTTTCTTCGCTATCGCTGTCGAACCATTCCAACTCTTTCTCGTTAAGTTCAATGATCTTTTTCCAATCATCCATCTTATAAATATCGATGGCGTACATATCACGTAGTACGAGTTGTTGATCACCTTAAAGGTTTTTACCACCACACATCAATGTTGTCAGATAGATCAGACAAGACTTGCTCCAGCATGACCTCGCGAGTAGAAAAAGTTTACTGAGAATCTTCTTTCGCCTGTTCTGTACTGTTTTGCATCTTCTAAATAGATCAGGCAAGACGTGCTCAAGCATGACCCCGCTAATAGAAAAAAAAGTTTACTGAGAATCCTCTTTTTCCTGTTTTATACTGCTTGATTCACTACGTCTGAAAAGCAACAGCATCTTCTTTTTTCATTACAAAATCCCAAGAAACCGATTCAGAATCAAATAGAGCATATCGCTATTGCGCAAGAATGCTTACATGATGACCTAAAGGCTTCACAGAACCACAAATGTTCAGTAAACGTTTTTATTCTTTTCTGGAAAATTTTAGTGGCAATGGTGTACGTCCTGGCGAAAGCCCACTTACCTGTTTCGAATATCCCTCCGTATAAATATAAGACGCCATGTTTAATAGCCAAACATGAACTCATACGTGGCTGAGGCCAGAAACGATCATCTTGTATTTCGTCCTTATCCGGTTTCAAGTCACCACAACTGGCTGCTCCTACTGCTGCACCAGAAGAGATTCTAACAGTAAAGATTCCGTCTGTTTTTACCTCGTCGTGCTGCTGCTGCTCTTCGAGCTCCGTTTGAAAAGATTCAGTCGCGGATTTAATTGACTGACCGGTATTCTTTGGTATCTGTAATGCACAGAATGGAAAACTATTATGCATCAAGAAAAACTTATATAAGCCTCAACACTTTTTTGAGTTGAGTATTATTGGAGAACTTCCTAAACAGTCTCCCCTGTAGAGCCTATTATTGCTATATTTGCTATATATAATTTTTACTATATATACTATTATTGCTGAAAAAATTCTAGAAACAAGGTGACTCCTATTTTTTACATTTATTCTACAGCACATAATATAACTACGTGTATGTGGAATTTCTAAGTAACGCACCTCCTTTTTAAGATTCATCTCTCGCCACAATCCTCTATCGGTTTCTAGCATGTACAGATCGGCAAGACATACTGACGTGATTGTCTCCTCATCTTCCTCGCGGTCGCATACGCCACCAAAAAAATATGCCCTGTTGGGTTGAGGACCGGACACAGCCGCCATTCCTGAACGCGGACCCGGTTGACAACCACCTTGTTTCACCAAGGACCATTTCCATTTCCCGATATTTCCTGTATATAACGGTTGAAGAGTACAACGTGATAGGTAGCTTTAGGGAAAAATGAAATCCAGTTTATTAAGCTAATTATAGACCTACCGAAGTACCTTTGCTTTATTGCACGCGGGTTAAGATTTCGAGATGAAACGAACTTCTAAACTGCGACAATAGTAAAAATCTCCGACGTCTGTTATTATTTCTTGTATATATAAACAGCTGCTATTGGGTATCGAGATCAAAGTCTCGGTTAATCCAATAAAATTAAGACTACACAACTCCCTTTCCAGTATGTACATGTCAATATATGCTAATAACGTGTGTGTATCGTAGATAGTACTTCATGCTGATAATTATCATTAATCGACTTGTGACTAAAATATATTTTTTGTACCCGTTTTGCTGCCTTCTTGCAGGAACCACATATCCATATATGTTATTCCTTTCTCAGCATCCTTGCCCAGTTTTTCTCTAGAGTAACCACCATATACCATTAGCTTATTGCTCTCCAGCATGACCATCTGAACACCGGATCGTGGACTTGGGCCCTGATTTGCCGGCTCGATTTTAGTCCACTGACGATCACCGATTGAAAAACGGTACACATCATTATAATACATAGCGTTCCTAGAATTGTGGACAGATAAAAAGAAATGTAAGATCACTGAGTTCATTAGGATTACGTTTAATTAGCAATACTGGTAAACGTATTGACTTGCGAATGCAGCCAGTTGAAGATCTGAGTCTTTCTCCTTGATCTTAATGAGACCGATTGTTGAATAAATTCTGATTCGCTTGAGTATTATTGCTTATATCAGTGCGCTTTACATATAAGAAAAATGTATGCTTAATGACTGACCTTAAATAGCCCAAAAGGATTTGCAAGTGGCGCCTTATCTCACAACGAGCAAAAAGTTTTTATGATCTGCTAAAAACAAATTTACATGTTTACTCTTATATACAAATCCCAACACTAATTGTCATCGAGTACCTGAGACTTTCATGAAAACCTCCAAAAAGAAAAATATCTTTTCCATTAGTCACCATTCGGTGACCGGAGCGAGCTGAGGGCCCTCCTTTGGCGTCAACCTTTTCCCACCGTGTTTCCTTTATATGATAACACCAGAGGTCCTTGTAGTGGTAAAACTGTGATTGCGTGGGTGAAGCAAACTCCCCTCCAAACATCCATATTTGACCACCACCTTTACCAAACGTAGCAACAAATGCAAAATATACAAAATTAAAAAGGGTGAGTAGCGAGGCATCAGCAAAAGATATATTCGTAATTATTATTCATCATTAATTACCCACTCATTTCAGATAAACCGTTTTAGAAACCCTTGTTTTCTCCTTTGTTTCTATTTATCCATATATGTTGTTGTGCCATTATATTTATTAGATAGATTTTAGGTACCAAACAAATTGTACAAACATATTATGGATTATATAACAGCATTTAATTTGTTTCTCCTTAATTAAATTCTCCTTTAATTTACCTTGTGCAACAATAACAGATTGTTGAGAGCAACGCGGAGGTGGTGCATATGGGGTTGTTAAACGAAGCCAATTGTTTTTCTTAATGTTATATGTATATAATTCATTATACATCGTCGTCTTGTGGCCATTGAAGTAACTGCCCCCGAATAGATAAAGTAGATCCTAAAAGTGAATATTCTTTTTATCATCGAATTCATTGAAAATAATATAATAACTATTATTATTAATATTATTATTATCACTATACTTTAGGTATGTTAACAAATGGCACATGCAAAAAATTGATTATTTTTACTTCACGTATTCTCTTCTAGTCACAACGTTCCAAAAATTATTCAATAGACGACTTTTTTTTCACTAACTTTGTCTGGGCTGGCAAGGAATGAACATCCACTTCTCTGTGATGGGGGGCCAACGAGATCTTCTGCTACACGCTCCTTTTGACGATCCATCAATAAAAAATTCTCAATCAGCTTCTCGACATCCTCCTGCATAAATTGATAAAGAAAAAAATTTGTTTGCCTAGCGTTCCATATGCTTTGTAGTATTTATCAAGTTTAAAGAATCAGTTGGCTATTAAAAGAGCCTTAGAAGTTTAAGTAAAATTAATCTCTATGAACAGATGGTTAACACGGTCGTCTACTGCAGATACAGTTATTACTATATTCATGATAATTCGATACATTCCCAAAACGAGGATTAAGACAGCTCACCTCGCCTTTCTCCGATAGTTCCTTCTTGTGTTTCATTTCGGCTTTCTTTGCCGTCTTTGCCGCAGTTTTTTCGGCGCCCTTTCCTTTCTTAGATTTTTCCTTTTTTCCCATCGTAGGATCTGAGGATAGTTGTACGAGCAATTATAAACTTGAAAATTGACGCACTCAATTAGTTACTCTAGTTATGGCACTGATAAGGTAAAGACATTTGCGTAGCATTTAAGAAGAGTTGTATGTGCGTATATAAACGTATACGCTTATAGTTAGCATGCTCATTCAGTTCTACGGTTTCTAGCCTGGTATACCCTCTTTACACAACTCTTCTTAAATGCTTCGGAATATGTTTTTACGTTATTACTCCCACAACTAGAGTAACTAATTATTTAAGTGATTTAATTTTCTACCTAACAATTCGAACAACAACGGATCGGACAAAGAACTTATAGTTATGAAAAACTCTACTTAATTTCTATTTTTATCTTTTCATCCACAATACTTACGTAACGTCTATCGATTCTATTTACACTAAAGAGCTTGTATACAAACTGAGATTTTAAAAAGATCATGGATGTACATAATGTACATATGCACATTAATAATACAAACGAAACATTCACCACAACTCTACACTCCAGGTTCTATAATGTGGTGATCCAGTCTGCTTCTGTTAATCAAACCTGTCTTAAAGTAAGTAGTTTTTTGCTACACTGAGTGGAAGCGGCTGTCTATAAGCCAACTCAAACAAGCTAAAACTTAATACGTAAGACACAATATCAATCGTGTGTAAACCATTTGAAAATAAGGTATGTTTACTTTATTGCAGGAGAAGATATCACTGGAATATTGTTTAAGTTTCTCCAACTAGTATGTAGCGCACACTGTCTTCTGTCGGCCATGTAAACAAGAGGCCCATCCACGTGCGCCAACATGATCAGTGATCGAAAAATATTATAAAAACTTAGGGCATATTTTTGCCTAGATTACAATAAAAAAACAGCATGTCACATCGGTGTTCTTCCTTGCATGTACTGGCAAAGAGTGATTTGTCAAAAAAACCCTAAATCATAATTGTAAGGTTGCAAGGTTTGATTTTGGCGCCATTTGTGTTCCGCCGATTATGCTTCGCCAATTAAGCGGGAGCACGTCTTTGTTTACGAACATAACCAAAACGAGACAAAAACCGGTCTATGATTTTCGAGCATTTTCTTGTCAAGATTGTGGACAGTATTGTTGACAATAATAGCATCGTGCTAACTTTGGCGTGTCCACACTACGGGTTGGGCTGTGCTGCACCGACTGTTGTGAAGAAGCGACGGCTCCATCATCATGAAAATCGACGAGATCAAATACAGTTCGGCCAAGGCGCAGCGAGTTGCCGCCCATTCTCATATTAAGGGATTGGGTCTGGATGAGCAAGGCAATGTGATTCCTCAAGCAGCCGGTCTCGTTGGACAGAAAAATGCTAGGGAAGCTTGTGGAATCATCGTGGATCTTATTAAGGCAAAGAAAATGGCTGGACGCGCTGTTCTTCTCGCTGGCCCGCCCGGTACAGGAAAAACGGCTCTCGCGATGGGTATCTCACAGGAACTCGGTAACAAAGTGCCGTTTTGTCCAATGGTTGCCTCGGAAGTGTACTCTAATGAAGTGAAAAAGACAGAAGTTCTCATGGAAAACTTCCGCCGAGCCATTGGTCTTCGTATCAAAGAGAACAAGGAGGTTTATGAGGGCGAAGTAACTGAAATGACACCAGCGGAGACCGAAAACCCTATTGGCGGCTATGGGAAGACTATTTCGCATGTCGTCGTTGGCCTGCGCACCGCTAAAGGAACCAAACAACTTAAACTCGATCCAGCAATTTATGAAGCGTTACAAAAAGAAAAAGTCGAAGTTGGTGATGTTATTTATATCGAAGCAAATTCGGGTGCCGTAAAAAGACAGGGCCGTAGTGATGTATACGCGACAGAATTCGATCTTGAGGCCGAGGAATATGTGCCGTTGCCTAAGGGTGACGTGCACAAGAAAAAAGAAGTTATCCAGGACGTAACGCTGCATGACCTGGACGTGGCTAATGCCCGACCACAAGGTGGTCAAGATATCTTGTCGATGATGGGACAACTGTTGAAGCCACGAAAGACGGAAATTACTGACAAGTTACGCAAAGAAATCAACAAAAGCGTCAATAAATATTTAGATCAGGGTGTTGCTGAGCTCGTACCAGGTGTACTTTTTATCGACGAAGTTCATATGCTCGATATTGAATGTTTCACGTTTCTTCATCGCGCGCTCGAGTCGCTTATTTCACCCATAGTCGTACTCGCTACAAACCGAGGGCGATGCATCGTTCAAGGTACGGACTTGTTAGCGCCACACGGCATCCCCCTCGATTTGATGGATCGTCTGCTTTGCGTAAGACTGATACCTTACAATCAAGAAGAAATTAGTCTCATCCTTAAATTGCGTTCGACAACCGAGCAGCTTTCGGTCGAGGACGAGGCTTTGAACGAATTGGCAGAGATTGGCAAGCGAGCTACTCTTCGTTACGCCATCCAACTGATGAATCCAGCTGCACTTCTAGCTAAAGTCAACGGACGAACGGACATAAAGAAAGCTGACGTCCTCGAATGTGACCAACTATTCAAAGACTCAAAAAGTTCGGCAAAACTGCTGCAAGAAGACGGTGGAAAATTTCTTAAATAATTAGTTAGCGTCTCACGTGATAGTAATAACATTCAGGCAGTTACGTGCACGTATTTGCCAGCTTAGTAATTGAACGCTGACAACAACTGCACAAAGAATAACACGTGAAGACAAGCAGAACCGATCATGGGTAGAAATCCTTCGACATGTCTTGGACAGAACATATTATGCTAAAAGTTTACAAACAGAGACCCATTGATTCATTGCGAGTATGTACATTGCACCAGCATAGTTACTGACTTAGGCGGAGGGACAAGGGATGTAGTGTGAGTTATGCCTAATTGCGTCGACTGAGAAAAAATCGAGGCAGACAGGTTGAAACTGAACAAGGGTACGTGAAACAAGCTATGTATAGTAATGAATTTGTTATTCTGTACTACTGACATCATTATTTTTTCAATAAATTCGTTATCATTATGCGTAATAACGACATCGAATCGATATTCATTTGATAAATAAGCATAGTGTTAAATGTGCCTCTTTATGTTAACTTGTTTATTACTATCAACCAAATTTCGCATTATTTGTTCATTACCTCTCTTTGATTTTCGAATCTAAACATGGATAGAAACTGTACTGTGCACTGAATAAAAAGATAAGGACAACTATTCCATTAACCACTGAATCTATTAATCATTCATTAATAATCATCAAAGTAATTAATTAACTGAATTTATTAATCATTGAATAACTAATGTAGTGATGATTTGTTTACATTTTTGAAAAAGACGAACAGTCGGCTTTAATATTTGTTAGTACTAGTTAGAGTTGATTCAATATACAATAGTCAAGGCGTGTTTACAATTTTCGAAAAAAAAAAAAGACGAAGTACATTTCGTCTAAGGCTCACGCGTTATCATTAGAGAGTACTTTAGCTTTGAAAACGTTAGTAATCTGAACTGGGAATCGACTGACTATCGACTGTCCTACTCGCAGCCCTTTCTCTTCCTAGTTGATTCCCGACTTCTTCGAATTTCAATTTTATTTAATTAAAGCAAAAGTCTCTTAATCTATAAGGAAAACACTAGGCTTTACCTAAGCTCAACACTCTATTGTAATCAATTTGAATCTGAAAATGACAAACTTCACAGTTGTTACTAGGTGTTTGATGTATTGAATGAACTTAAGTTTGTTTCTATTTTTGAACCTTATATTTAATTAAGCTCTAGCTCAAATGTTTAGTAGAAATATTTTTATGTTAAAAAAAATTAAAGCCGATCCAACTTCAAGTACTTCCATGTAAATATATTTTCATTCGCATTGAGTAGCGTTATGTGTGTCCTGACCTGTGAAAGACAAGTCCATTATAATAACACATTCATGCTCTCAGTAGAATCCTTTGCCTTTGCTTTTGGATGTATTAACATTGCGTTAGCAAAATCCGTTTCCTTGTACTGCTTCAGGTCCATCACTACCATGGGCATGTATCTAATAATAACCTACACACATGCCTATGGAAAGTATTTTGTTGGGTAGCTTTGAATGATTCATCGTTTTGACAGCACTGAGTTCTTCTCTCGTTAGTGGCGGTTTCTTTTCAAACGCCTGGATGACTCATTTCATACGATTGGCCTTCACTCGTAAAGCCTCTTGCCCTCGGTGCCCTTCTTTTTCGGCGATTTCGTGCCCTCCTCCTCTTTTAGCGTTTCGTCAGGGGAATTTGCTTGCTGCTACTGTCGCTAGCCCATTACTGCTGCGAGTGTGTCGCCAAGGCATAGAAACCGAAAGGACTATGTTGTGAAGTGTGCGTCCAACTGGAAAAACTTGACCTCATAGAAAATATATCGAACGAGATTGGCGGAAAAGTAGACATAAAAATCATCGATTGTTGTGAGTAGCTGCGCACACGTGTCGTTATCTTCAAGGCCCATTTATTGAAGCAGCAATCAATTGGAAAGCAGAGCGTGTTCGCAGTGTTCAGAATAAATCGGACAGAAGCTAACGAACACCCTGACATGGAAAATGTAGCAATATTTTGTTGATTATTGCGGTCATGTTTGTGTTCAGTTAGTCGTCAGTTAGTGAGCCACGCAAGTGGCTAGACGGGCGGATGTAATGGTCCCTCGCCACGCTTCTTCCCCCTTTCCACACAAGGCACAGACCAGACGACTACGAGCGACAGCTAACGAAGTGGCCGTTGCCAATCGGGGACAGTCTGCTGAAACAAAAGATTATAATCTTATGTTGTCGTGTCATATTGATATGCAAGTTGGACATTAAAAAAAGCGTTCAAAATTGTGACCCTGTACGTCCATGGATGCACTTGGACGTAGTTTACATCGAAGTATTAACAAGAATTGACGCAAAAAGTGAATCAACGTATTGTCAAAAACATTGACGACAACGACAAAGGAAAAGCTTCAGTGGTGTCTCCAGACAAAGGAAGGGGTAGCAGTTTTTACGGCTTCTGACTAGAGCACCAAGTGACTGCAGTGGGTGATAAGGCAATTTACTCAAACTCATTCCACCCTAAGATAAATAGAGAAGGTTACCAAAGCAGGCATCTCGCTACAGAATACGGTCGCTGTTATTTAATTGGTGTCACAGGAAAGACGACGGCTGATGCCTATTGGTAATGGGCAGCTATCGTCGGGGCGACGACGGCTATCACGTAGTAAATTCTTTTTTTAATTAGAAATTAAGCGGAGGACCGGTAGCAAAAGTTTTATGTGAGGTAAGCTAAATCAGCAAAAGTATACCATTGTTTAGTGCGCTATTTTGGTACAATAAGACCTGCTTATGCGAACTGTGCTTTTTAATTAAGCTACAGGTGCTATTTAATAGGCAATGCAGATGAAATTAGATTAATTGCTAGTAACAACACTTCTGCCTTCCGGTATCATGGTGGGTACCCGTTAGCATTATCATTTCGTTTAGATCAGTGATCAGTTATGTCTAACTTTTAGACAATAGATATGATCTACAGACTCCGGTTCGATCAGTTGATCTTCAGCAGTTGAGTCGAGTCGATGCACAGACGAGTAGATCCTCGGCGACGCAAAAGCGTTCAGAAGATATTTATCTTTTGCAGCGCTGTTCCACCGTACGTCAGATGCAAGCCTTGCAAAAGTGAGGTATTTGTAGTTTTTATTAGCAACAATGCCTATGAAACTCCTATATGGATAGTGTGTTTAAAGCCTAAACCAAGTCGCTGTTTGTGGATAGCAGCCAGAAGCTATAAAGTGGAGCGTCGTCTAGTATAGGCTTAAGATGAGCATTGTGCTGAAATCCCTGGAATGAACGACGAGTGAAAATTGCTCGTAAGAAGAAGAAGAAGAAGAAGAATAGTCGGCTGACGTTGGTTTACGCTTACTGTTTTAGCATGAATTTTTTCGTTTAGTACGTGTTGATATGCAGCGTAACTATGACTGCTCGATGTAATTTCAGATAATCAGACCTAACCTGTGACATCCAGGATAAACCTTACTAGTATAGTTAAACGTGCACAGAGTTTGCCAGTATTCAAATATGGTACATCAGTGCTGATTCACTGCTAAGATCGCTTGATTGTAGCTAATTTACAAGTACACAATGGTATGCCTTAAAACCGAAATTTCGGGATAAGCACAAAAAAGTTGTGCACTGGACGCGTCACAAACGTTTGTGTATTCATGGCGGAAAAATCCAACTAGTTTGCAACTTGGTCTTTCAATACAACGCAGAATAGTGGCAAACTAGCATGATCTGGCACGCAAGGAAAAACGACTTTATCTGGTGAAGTTTAGCAGCTTATGGGGGTATTACTTTCTTTTCATCAGCGTGCTACTGAACTTCTTTGGTTCTTAGGATTCGTCGTTTGCCCTAGAGGGTATACTGGGTGATCTAGAAAATTATGACGGGTTTTAAGGTAAAATCGAAGCAAATGTCTTTACATTTTGAAATAATATTGATCAACCATTCTATATTAACCACTTTAATCAATAACCTTCACCCCTTTTTCTGGTAGTACCATAATCTTATAAGTGTAGGACGTATCTTCTGGGTGAAAAGTTCTGACAAGTCATTTTTGTGTCTCTCCATTGAAACTAAATTAATGACATTAAGGTGTACTGTAGAGATTGAAATAAAGGATAATCTGAAGGATACGAGCGATACGGTAAGTGCATTTAAGTTTCCCATTCAAGTTCTCTTGATTTTTGCTGGTTAACTGAAGTTGTACGTGGTCTGGCATTACCATGGTAAGCGACACCTTTTCTCTTTACTAGTTCCGGTCGATTCTTTCAATGACTTGTTATAACCTTGTTAGTTGTTGGCAGTGGGGGTCCGAATCAGGCGTTTTGCTAACAATAATTCGCAGTTCCTTTCTAACCCCAGCAAAATTATACCATGGTCTTCTTGTGCTTAAGTCCGAGTTTTATCACATCCTGTATAGTACATATTTTTTTTCGTACGCTATTGTCATCTGTGATTTACTTCTCATCACCCCTGATCAATCTTTTTATATATGGCTCGATTTCGTTGTATGTCTGTGAAGTTTCGTGGATAGAAGTACGGTCGAGTAAATTCTTTCGCGTGGCATCCGAATAGCAAATTTCTGTTTGTAGCCAGCTTTTCTCGACTGGTTAAAAACTGTTTGGTAGTAAATATTTAATTCGTTAGCGATATCATGACTATTTACGCATTGGTCTTACCCAGCTTCCGCAATAATTTCATCAGCTTTTTTTCGTAATTGGTCGATCAATACGAAGAACATCTTTCATACCAAAATTTCCAAAATGAAAACAACAGGACTATTTTTGGGTTAAGATACTCTACTTTAAGTCAGAAATAAAATTATTTCAGTCAATTTCGATGTGTCTCATACCGTGAGAGCTTGGCTTTAAAATGATACAAACTGACCCGATGCAACTCACATCATCTGAGTTATGTATTTTAAAGTTACCTAATTACTTATTACTACTTTATAAACAATCCAATATTTTATCATCTAACGGATAACGATTTTATCTGCAAATCTTTATTTTGTCTTTTTTGTCGTTTATGCTACATAGTAGAGGTTCACATGGCAAGCGTATTTTTGCTCTTAGGTAATTTTCAATGTTGTGAGCGTGTAGTGTGACAGTATACAGTGATTTGCTACAGAGCCGTCTAATAATTTCTGTATTTATGTTTGTGGCTCTTTCCGTTTATAGACAGATTTGCGAACAGGCGATTTCCGTGAAGTCATACGTTTTATTCAATAGCTGACGAGAGAGCGACAATTGTACGGTGCCGAGTATAAACATTAAAAAAAAAAACTAAAAATGGATAAGCCGGCTGAACCAGTGGAGGTGGGAGGTTGGATAAGGCGAGAAGTATTTGCCAATGGCTCGTTTGGTCAACTGTCTGTTTGGGAAGAACCTGCTACGAAAAAAGTTATTGCTGTCAAGGTTTGTATTGGATGTATCGGTAGGTTTATAATTTGTCCCCTGCTAACTGCAAACTTCAATATCAGTACTGCGTTTTATAAGGAAGTTCTTGTGGTAAATGATGGTAATGGTGTGATCTACCGTCTGTCTACTGCTGAATTGTACATTTTGGGTAGGAAGGCCTCTCCAGCTTACGATTTGATTTGTCTGTTACAGCACATCTCACTTGAGGCTCTAGCTAACAGACCAGTGTTTTCATATGAGTATATTCTAGATATATAAGGGCTCGCCCCAGACTCTTAGGGAGAAGCAACGTGACTACTGGATAAAGGAGGTGGAAATTATGTACAAGCTCAACCATCCAAATGTCGTTCGCGCCGTACCGCTGCCAGAGCCGCTAAAAAACTTTATACAATCATGTGTGCCACCGCTAGCCCTGGAGTTTTGTCGTGGAGGAGATCTGAGGCGGATGTTGACTCGTAGCGAGAACCTTTGCGGTTTACCCGAGAAAGAAGTTAGAAACGTCCTTCGCGATATCTGTCAAGGCTTGATCTACTTACACAAAGAGGGCATTATTCACCGAGACCTTAAACCAGAAAATATCGTTATTCGGTTGAACGGTGACAATCAACGAATCTACAAGATTATCGATCTCGGTTACGCGAAGGAATTGGACCAAACCAGTCTGGCTCAATCGTTCGTTGGTACTCTTGCCTATTTAGCGCCAGAGCTCTTCGAGCAACGTCCGTATCGTAAGACAGCCGACTATTGGTCCCTTGGTGTGTTAGCCTTTGAAGTGGCAACTGGAATCCGACCATTTTTTCATGAGGATGCTCCAATGTCTAACTTACCCCATATTAAGAACAAGAAAAATACGCATATATATGCAAGGAAGACGGTGGGCGGACTTGAGTTTTACTCAACAATGCCCGAGTGGTGTCGGTTGAATGAGGTATTTAAGAACGATCTTACAGTGTGGCTGACAAAGATGCTCGCGTACGATCCAAAGGATCGAACGCACGAACCGGGGTCGCCCAGTTCACTTGAGGTAATGCTCGCCATGCTCAAGCGGCCCTTGGCCCACGTTCTACACACGAACGGTCAAAAAGTAGTCAGTTTTACTTCAGACTCTGTCGCGGAAAATTTATACACAAGCACCATGGTACCTGTGGATAGTCAATTCCTGCTGTCTGTCGAAGGACAGGAGATTGCGTTCGGCGATCTGTTGAAGCTTGGAGCTAGCCATTTAGAGGATGGCTCACTGTGCTCCTACCTATTCAACTTTGACGGGAGCTACAATTTGTCACCTAGTACCCTTCCCCTTAATGTTAAATACATGCTAGCCCATTATCAAAAAGCGATGCATTATCCGGAGCAGCGACTGCTATGGCAACACATGTATAACTATGTGGACAAGGAATTTGTCAGATGTTGTCAAATGCTGGCAGCGTATCGCGCTCTACTTGTGCACATCAATAGCATACAGAGCGAGTTCTCTGCCAAACTAAATGGCTTGTCAGCTACTTACAAAGAGATAAAGGTCCTTGCGCAGCTCTTGCAGGATGACCAAGAATATGATGAGAAGGAATTGCAGAAAGTGCAGCACTCTGCTTTAGAGGAGTTACGTATGACACCAGGCAACGACACAAAAAAAGTGGTGACACGGATCAAGGATAAAATGCGCGTAATCGTAGCCAAAGCCAATATGGCATACAAACAAGTACTCGTGCTCCGTGAAAATCCCTTCGGTAGAACCAAGCCTCCAGCAGCTCTTGCGAATCTCCACGATAGCGTACTGGTTTTACTGGGCAACTTGAGAAAGATGAACAACGTCGAACGGACAAAGCCGCATTCGAATAACGCGATGGTGGAACAGGTGAATAAGTTCAGCGAGGAGCATCGCCGAGTTCTAAAGGAAATCGCTGGTCACATTGTAGGTGCCTTAGAGCACGTGAAGGACGTTCGGCAGAATCTCCGTGAAGCGAATGAATTCATCATGGAAGTAGAAAAGGTGAGTGTAATCAGAAAGCATCTAAGTAATTTTAAAAGACTTAAGCTAAGCTTGCACTTTTCTATAAGGGAGTCACGTTTGTTTCTCTATTACTGAAACATCTTTCCACCTCGATTTAGACAGCTGTAACCTCATTCTAATGTACGCCCTTGTTTTCGCTACAGGAGCACGCAAAGTTGAAGCTCAACCACCAGGCTCGCCGCACGACGATTTGGAACGTCATCAAAAAGCTAATGATTAGTGCTGAGAACCCGTCAGCTTTTAACGGCTCTACTGCCAACAGAACCGTTGGTGGCATAGATTCCATCACCATGATGCCTGATGTCGACATGCTTGTTCGTGAAAATGAAAAGTACCGTAGCGCACTTGACTCGTTGAACGCAATGATGGAGAGCGAGGTTGGCATTGCAACAAGCACCATTTCTCAAAATCAAAACATGGCGAGCTTTCTCTAAAAATTACCGCATGCATGCAGATAAATTGACTGTAATAGACTGTACATCATGGGCTACAGAACTGATGAGAGATAAAAGAGAGCAGTTAGCAACTAAACATTCAAGAGTTACAAATACAGTAGTCGAATTCACTTTATCGATGATAACTTTGAATGATCACGTCATTGTCAGTGAATTCCTAGACAGTACCGTACCATTTTTTTGGGGTCTCTAGAATTATCGCTCTCGTTCTAAATATTTCGCTGGAACGCTATTCAGTAAATGTTATGTTGACGAGCGGCTGGCTGCTTCGGGATTGTTTACACTTTTGCGCCTATTCTGCGATGTTTTAATGTATGGATATTCAATTGCTTGTTTGGTGTCAAATAAGTAAAGCAAAGTGCTAGAACAATTGCCTGCATTAATGCTGAGTTAGGTGTTACATCATGTCTTCGAATCGTTAAACCTAAATGGAGACCAGTTTCGATCGACACATAAAAAGAAAGCGTATGCCAGTTTTACTGCATTTGTTTTTATCTGAAACGTTTAAAGATATAGCATTATGTGAACATGGTTTAATGTTAAGTTGATGGAAAATGCAATGATAATTTGCCATGAAATTTCAGATGCAAGTTCTAGATAAAAATGGCCAAGGTGACCAAGCTAATGAAAATGACGGGAGCGGTCAAGTCGTATGATCTCTTCGAGGAACTCAAGAGCCAACGACCGACGGCCTTGTGGTTTGGGTTGCAGGAGGAAAAGATATAATAATGGCTGTTTTTGCTGATCATTGTTTCTGTTAACCTGTTTGATGTAATGCAATATATGGGTGGATTAAGTAATGTACCCTAATCCAACAAAAATAATTTCCGTATAACTAGGCCCAAACAAGCTATACCTAGCTTCGTAAAGTGAGAAAGTCAGCCCTTCAAGATTGCAATTATCGTAATTGCAATTAATGGATTCAGAACAGTCTAATAGTGAATGCAGTAAAAGTGTTATTATGTTTCCTGTGCATTTTATATAATGATTTATCAATCATCAAAAGCTTAGCGTGAATGAGAAACGTGTATGGCTATGTTTAAACATGCAAAGATGTAGAGATTGTAATTATACACCAATTAGGCCCCTTGCTTCTGTCAGGCTAGATTTAGATTATAAGAGAATAATGGCAATGTTTAATTCGGAGGACTCAATGAAGCCTAAATACAATTTAAAGTAAAAACCACTATGGTAGTAGATGAACGTAATGCGGATAGAAGAAACGGGATCAGAAACTTAAAGCACATGAATGATGTGTAAAAAATTGAAGATAATTATGAAAATGTTAGGGTTGAATAATAGGATAATGAATTGAGGTAACTTTGATTGAAGGAAACGGAAAATAAGCAGATAAATGTATAAATGTAATATAACGTCTATGTTTATAATATTCACACACACAGATATATAATGTACAGTGCAATGTTGTTGTATATAATTCTAATGACTCGTAAGAGCAAACGAAATCTGTGTATGGAACAAAGCTCACTTTCTTCGAAAACTTTCTGTTTCGTTTGAATGCGTGGCAGTCAGGTGTGGTCAATCAAGTAGATACTTTAAGTGTACGAGTCAACAGTGACATGCTTTTTATTATACATACACATATACGCGTTTGATCACATTGCATTTGGATCACATTGTAGGATGGATTGTCTTGCACAAATGTGTCTATCATATTATGCCACATTTATTTCGACATGGATTTTGGAGTTGGATTTTAGAGAGGTGTCTATGAGACAAAGAGGAAAATGAAACTGACCGTGGAATAATGAATTGCAATACAACATAAAATACACATGGATTTTGAATTTTGTTCAGATTTTGCCTATGTTCAAAGAAACAATAATAATAGTAGTGACGTCTGTCTGGGTAATGCATGAGCCTTTTATTTCTTTAAAAAATACACTACTTAATAGGTAAATACCGCAACACTATAGTGCTCAAATAGAAAATGGAGATTGATTATCCTAACAAACAAATTCGGCAGTAAAAGAAGTATTAGCCAATTTTGTCCCTCCCAGGCATGCAAATGATACAACAGTGAATTTTAGGTCTAATCCAGCATGATTGTAATGAAAGCATATGGGCCGAAATACCAACAAGGCAATATGCAAGAACTAAAATGATTAAAATGACAGGTAATCATACAGACGATACTACGCGGATCTGAAGCAATCTTTGAAAGCCAGAATAATTCGGGCAAGAAAGGTTGCGTTTATAAAATTGTCATATTGATATTAGTAAAACCGTTTCAGAGGCAGTTAATAGGAAATATAGGTACTCTATTAGAGTTAGACAAACCTGCTGTCCTAAGGATTTTAAAATAGATACATAATATGGCAGTTTAATCCGACTGCGGCTCGTCAGCGCTCTAAAAAGAGACCATAGGAAGAAGGTAATAGTTTTCTGAAGGAAACTTCTTGGAATATCTCGGAAGGGCAACGGTTGAAATAAGTCCTGCGAGAAAACTATGGTTCTGCCAAGGAGGATAAAGGCTAAGAAGAAATTATATGAGTATATTATGTATAAGTATTATATGGGTATAGGAATTATATAGGAAAAATGCACAAAACCCTTAAAGAGAATTAGACTAGACTTTTCCACGACTCCGTCGCTGAAATGACAGCTGCAGACGAGCGTTTGAAGGTCAGATCACGTGCAACAGTTGTCTCTTCTGTCCCTACGACGAATTTGGCTACAAGGCAAGAATATGTGAAATAGAATGTAATCTTACCTATGCGAGAGGTTCCACAAATGAAAAAACATTTTGATGAAGTACTCTGCGCTAACTGCGGTGCTTTCCCGCTGCTAGCGATATACGCCTCGTGAGGAATATGTTCACGGAAATTGTGAGAAAAAGGTCGCACAAAGGTAATATTAACTTTCAGGTATTTGTGAGTGCATCTGACACGTATGCGTAAAGGAGGCCTACAGCTGTCACGGACAGTTGGGTCGAGTGGTTTTGTGTTCAAACCAACTGCTATTTTACCGGAGCAGGGCAACACTACGTAGTCGGATACGTAAATCGTCAGTCATGTTTCTTTAATAAAAAACTAATAAAGAGTTTAATAGAGAGTGTTTTTTTACTGACTTCATTTAGTAGGCACCTGTGGGACCTCTTTATAAAAGGCTTGCACACCGGGAAGCTCTATCTTCTAAAACTCATCCTTTCCTCCAGGTTAATATATATGGGGTTAAATACCGAAAAACCTTTGGCATATGTCAGTTTTATCATTCTTAAACTAAAACAAAGAAAAAAGTCGTAGTTCTGCACCGGTTTCTATGAAATAAGTGTTTATTGAGTTCCTTTGCCTGATGGAGAGCAGTGTCTTCGTCATATGGAATTCGGGTTATATATGCTTTTGTGGTCCTGCGGTTCTTATTTACCCATTCATTCGGTTCCGGTATATTCCTAACTTCGGGTCAGTTTTCGTACTTTTTTAAGTCATTCGCATTTCTAAAACCATAGATGGGAACATCAACATTTTTTTAGTGGGCGCGGATATTTCTCTGTTTTAGCCGTTTTGTTTTTCAGATGAACCACAATGCTAAATAGCAATCTTGCGCCTTGACTGAAAAACGCTTCACTGGTCAAGATCGACTTAAGGTAAGTTTATTCATCAGGTAAGGTCTGGGTATAAGGGTTTGATTATAGCTACGGAAAAAACTCCGTTTATTTTATCGCATCCCTTTTCGAGTTTGGTGCATTCGCTGAATCCTTCTTTTATAAGAATCTATTCCTTGTGGTACTATGAGACCGTTACGATTATTAGTTACATCGAGGATTGTAATATTTCTTGCTGCATAATTATTCAACTCGTATTCAATTTACATACTTGAGAACTTGTTTAGAAGCTTATGAATTTTTTCAATAAGTTGAAAAACCGAATTTGGCGAGGAAGGTATCGTCGACTAATAGGGGTAGTAGCACTAAGAGCGTGTGCAAGCACTAGATTTATTAACAACGAAGCGGCTTCTGAACGTGATAGCGCGATAGAGCGCCTGAAGCCGGCGATAGATGTCAAGGAAGCCTCCTGACGAAACCGTACCTTCTGATATCTAGAAAGCACGTTGGCGAAGACTGTTCTCTGTTTGAGCTAAAAGATCATTCACAGATGCGGCTCCTGCCGACTATGCCTTCAGAACTTAACTCTGAATGATTCGAGGCCTGCAAGATATTTCCATACAACAATTTCCCCATATCGAATGTGCATAAAAGAGCAATGGCAGCAACGGCGCTTTGTAAACAAAGCTTTCAATTGCAAGAGTAGCTTACGTAAGTGTCTTCAATACGGAAATAATAGCATAATACTTATGCGCCTGAACTGTCGAGTGAGCCTGCTGTCCTACCGTCCTTTGAAGATTCACTTTCATAGCCTGGTAGAACAAAAGGTGAAGTCCTATTAAGTGCAGAGCGTTGTACATCAGTAAGTCACTGAATCAAGTGATGGATTAAGAGTCTCATCTCATTGAGATAAACAACAAGATCAGTTATAGTTCCAGTACTCTTTTCGCCATGTTCAGAAGCACACATTGGCGGCGTTTGCAGGATTTACATGCCATAGGAATTATGATGTGCATAATCGGTGGTCTTACATACATCACTCGCGAAGATTTACAGCAGATTATACTTCACAAAGCAGATGAATGGAAGAACCGATAACTGAATCTAGAGGTGTTTCGATGTTGACTTATGCGGCCGCTATGATCAATTTTAATTGCTTACCATCTTACAAAAAAGTATGAGTCTTGAAGCTATGGACGGGCTTATGACGCAGATAAATTCTACCTTTGGTGGGGTACACAGAACAACATGTTATTGAAGCTTGCCAGTATTAAGTTTTCCAACAATACTAGATATTCTTACCTGACTTTTTTTTAAAATTCATTTTAAGAAAACTGTTTTTGGATGCACGTTGATTTTTCAGTGGTGGCATGTCCTAGAATTCAGACCGCTGCACCATGTTGAACTGAACTTCACTTTGCATTTATTCTTTTTTTGAGGTTAGAGATATTACTTAATGTTTTTCTAAATTTTATTTAAGCCTTTTTAAAATTTTGCCTTCGATGTCAGAGATCAAAGATTGTTTACATCATTTTGGATGCTCCAAAAGTCAGTGTGGAGTGACAAGATGCCCAGAGCGCGCTGCGCTGCATCGGAAGGCACTGCATAGAGCAGGAATGCTTTCAACACTTAGTTGTACGCCATTGGACTGAGATAGGAGGGCGGATGGAGTCACTAAACCATTAGTTTTAATGCATATTAAGCCTCTTCGAGTCTATCAAAACGTCTCTACAGCAGAAGGGGTAGCCAAATGCACGGATGCACAGAGAATGTGGGAGTTCGTCCGGCGACTGCACAACGATAATGGCCATGGAGATCATTGAACCAACGATCATGAATTTAGTTTTGTGTGTGGTAAGGAATATCAAGCTGGCGACGCGACTCGTTAATATAATAAAGTATAATAATACTAAAAGATAATTACAACGTGACTGTAACATGATGATTATATCAATGGTGTGTAAATGCATACATGTAACTACTACTAATGGGTTCGAGATATCGGCCACTGACTTAGTGTATGCCCGCTCCACTTATCCTAGATCACGAGCGCAGACAGAGCACATATCAATTAAATAATGCCTTCATTTAAAAAAATAACGATTATTTATTCTTTGAGAATAGCCTACTCCTTAAATTCGATCATGAAAAGCGTTTAGCATTTAATCATCCACTACATTTTTCGTTGATTTTCGAATCGCTTTTGAACAAATGCAGGTGTTCGTCTTAAATAGATTTGATTGGCGGAGCCGTTTCGATTCACGATTGGAGAGGACGATTGATACTGGAGGCTGGTACCGCTTATTGTACAAACAATCCCAAAGAATATTATAAAAGAATTCGTGGTTTTTTACCGTCTTCACCCCTTCCCTGGTGATTCCTAATCTGCGTTCTGGCTTCTTTTGTAGTAGATCTTCAATAAAGCTCACGGCTCTTTGGCTAAGGCTACCATCGTTGGGTAGATAACAATCGCACTCCATGATCTTTTTGAGTAACCCATTCTCCGAGCTGGCTACGAACGGCATCTGGCGACAGAAAAGCGCATAGGTAAATACGCCCAAAGCCCACCAATCCACACTCGTTTTGTATCCTTTACTTAGAAAGTACTCCGGAGCCATATAAACGGCTGTCCCACAAAGCGAATAAGTACGACAGCCTTTTTCGAGTTGTTTCGCAAGGCCGAAATCTGTTAGTTTTATGTAGCCGTCATTATTGATCATAACGTTCTCCGGCTTAAAGTCTCGGAAGATAATATTGGCGGAGTGGAGGTATTCGAACGCAAGAACGACCTGCGCCGTAAAGATGGCGCCACCGTGCTCTCCAATGTACGTCCCACTATCAAGCAAATCGAAAAAGTCTCCACCGGGTACAAATTCCATAACGGAATAGACGTTTTCGTCGTCTTGAAAGAATCCGAATACAAGTTTAACGATGAATTCGAAATTGCTGGCATATTGGAGCTTCATTTCCGTCTCCGCCATTGAAGGTAGAATATACTTTTTTTTTTGAGCTTTCAATGCATAAACTATTTGCGTCTTTTTATGTTTCACCTTACTTACTGTTCCGAAAGAGCCGTGAGATAGATGGTCAAGAAGGACGAAATCGTCGATGTCAGCGGTCGGGCATAACGAACGCTTCAGTCTCTTTCGTAGCTCCTCAATCTTCGGGGTCAAAATTGCTTCCAACGCAATCACCGAATCACGTCTAGGATCTTTAGATATTTCGCATTGAAGTTTTTTTTAAACCGATCGCAGAGCTTCGACATGATCGTTGTTGTAGCCGAACAATCGACTTGCTGGTCTATTGGGATCTATGAGCAAAATGCATGCAACAAGAAATCTGATCAAAGTATTCTATCCCGGAGCGAATATTTTTAAACACTTCCTTCATTTAAACTCACGTATTGTAGTAACACATGCCGGAGATACATCTCATAAACAATATATGCCTTTGAAAATATGTTCAATACGGAGCGTAGTATAGTATCTGATGCATGTTTTTATAGTGTAAATCTATATTACGTTCGATTCTGATATTTACACTACGTTGTTTTCATGAGAAAGTTTATCAGTTAATTTGTGAACCTGTCCAACTCCACGTCGTCCTGCTAATTATTGTTAATTCTGTGCAGGTGCACAGCAAGAGCCTGCATACGTTCCGCGCAAGTGAAAAAAGTAGGTGTACAGGCTACAGTAGAAGGCCACGAGTAGCCAATAAATGCTGGATCGTGTATATTCGTCATCAAAAAAGGCATCTAAAGCGATTCGCCTTATGAAAACGTCTAAAGGCAGTAGATGCAAGGACTATGACCCACTTCGCTGAATAGTCTTGAATATAGCACTGAAGAGCAAAACATATTTTTTTGCGAAGAGGCGACTTGTTGTTTTGGACGTATTTTTGGAGTGAGTATGCCTAAGACAATCGATGAGAACGATCATCTGTAATGAAAAGATGGATCGGGCGGTCAAAGATTGCGATTTTTCAGTAACATATTTTATGTTTGTCCAGCGCGCTTACGTGAAATCAATCATGTTGCTAAGGAATTGAATACGCCACTTAGCTAGCTGCTTTTAGCTGTTTTTCTCATTAGTGTAGAACAAATGATGAGCTCCCACGATCTTCATAGGGCGACCGCTCGTGATCGAGCTTCATCATTTGATCATGAGATTTGATCAGCCTAGATGCTGCCTACTTGTTTACAGCTTGTTCATTGAAATGGATATGATGCTTCACAGCTGGGATTCGTGGAACGGAAGATTCAGTTGCTAAAAGATGGCGCGATCTATAGCCTTTGCCCATGCTTTACAAAAGTAAATTTATTTTGTGATGCAACTTCAATATGTAATGTGAAGAAGTCTTTTCAATGGCCAATTTTCTTAAGTTACTTAAAATCTAGCTCTGTCTTTGTTATCTTTTAAAAAACGGCTCTCTCTCTCACACATGAGCCTATTTTTATTTATTCGTAGATTGTTTGAACATGTACTATCGGTTGCTGAAAAAACGAGTGAGTCCTGTGTATGTATAATTGTCATACTGTATGTTCTCGGGATTCAGAATTTTACGATAAATGGTTTAGCGGCACTATCAATCTGGCACAACCACATCAAAGAATATAAACTATAATTTAAATGTTCATCGATTTTATTTAAATGACATGCTTTAATTAAATACTTGAGTGAGGGGGTGAACCAGCAATATAACGCATGGTCTGGTCGATGTCCGTAACCCGCGGAAGAGTAACTTTGCTTTGCAAAGTCCATTATTTTCCTTGTACACCTTCAATGAAACCACGATGAAAAACATAGCCAACCTGTATTTGAACATAGATAGGTAAGCCAAAGATCTCGGTTTAGCTCTGCTACGGAACTGTACGCTTCGAATTGAAACAGAGATGTATTTTCGTTGAACGTTTTGGTAAAACAAATGATGAAAGGAGCTCTGTCGAATACGGTGTATGTGTCTGAGCGCGTACTCGAAAAAATGTTGTATCTGCTTTTTTGGATAGATACTATTTAGGCGGGTAAATGCCTCGCTGCCCGGGGACCCAACACCTATTGGCATGTGTTAGGAGAGGCGAGTAGAGGTTTAGTTCAAAACTGGGGGTTTTAGTGGGTTGGGACTGTCTCCATAGGCCGTATCGCTGAAAGCGTCTCGAGCGGGGCTCCTACCAACGATGAGAATGTGGTAGTCAAACGACGGGCGCTGCAACGTGAATAAATGGGTGATTCCTACATATAACCGAGTGCATCAATTAATGGATTGCTATTCATTTTTTGTGATCGATCACCAAAGTTATTTTCGTTCTAGCGAATACAGGGATGAAAGTCACCACGAAGCATATAAGCATGAGGACGATTAACCATTCGCCAAAAGTGCTCCATGTCATTCCCTCAGGATAGATTCGGCCATGATCAGGTGAAGGTTTGAGCTTCTCAATGTCATCCATTGAAGGCAGTCTAATAATAACTGCAAAAGTATAATGGGTATTTCAATATAAGAATCTATTTAAGTGATGAATTGTAGCTTAAAAGAACAGCCGCATGGAAATTGGAATTACAGAAGTAAATGCAAATTTACACCGTTTAACTTACCTAGAAGGCCGCTGAGAAGGCTTCCTAATAGAATTACTACCCTAGAAATGAACATTTTATTCATATAATTAGGCCTTTCGATGAGAAAGGTGATATAAGTGATTATGATCATCATCCCAATGCCGGAACCGAAGAAGACTGCTGCCCCGACCAAATGTGGTACGAGGACAACCCAGGTCCAATCGCCGTCTCGTCGTAGATGGCCTAGATTGTGGTTTTTGCGAAAAGATAGATGCAAGTTTATTTTAATTATATTGTATCGATGTCATGAGCTTGAGGAGATTGGTTGAACCCAGATGTGATTATATAATTTGAAATACGATCAAAAGCCCTGAACGTAAGATACTGCGCAGTTTTGTTCTAGAAATAAAAAGCAATAAATAGGTTCAAAAGTAATATCTTGGATGAACAGAATAGGCTCAAGTAAACTCAATCAAATAGTTTAAACTAGTAAAACCAATTTTGCAGCATTAAAGCGAAATATCTATGGACGGTTTTTTACCTATTCAGGCAGCATTTGACAATGGTCCTTTACACGCTGACATAGAAACTGGTAAGCATTTTCAAATTGCTGGTGAACTAATACACGCGTCAACATTTTATAGCATCGCTTTTGCGGCGATAGCTGTCGTCACCACTCCTTGAGGCGCGCCTCTGATGCTGTTTTCCGTGCTCTCAGCTAGAACTTAATCGTACTGGAACATTTATTTCCTGTCCAACCCACCAGTTAAGGATTCTCGAGATCTGTTGAATTAGCAGGCCACCGCAGCACCTAAACGTCATCGGCAACGAATAGCCTAGGGATACTCCGAGTACTATGACAATTACCTTTTATGCTGTTTCTGCTGCTCTAGTATTCCTTATGTGAAATATATCATCCCAGTGCCTCTGCCATTGATAGATGTTTGATTTTCGGCACGGTGCACTTTTCGAAATAGAGTTTGCCAACACACCTAACGGTACGACCAGCGTTTTTCCTAATTTCAAAACAGAAACTGTCCGAGAAACAGACGCTCTCAACGGTGTAACTTTCTATTTGGTTTACTCAATCAGGGCAAGCTTATTACATTTGAGCACTCAACCGAAGCTTCTTGGCCTAGTCTACCGCTCTTGAACTTAGGCTCTTTAAGTTGACGACGAAGCGTAATTTTAGAGTCCGCAGTCTTTTAATCTGCTTTGAAGGGTATTATATAGGATGAATGATCTATCTTTCTGTGCTTTGTACTGTAGCTTTTTTGATTCTTGTTTCCGATTTTAGGCAACGACAGCGGGAGGTTTTCTCCAGCTTCCTAGCAACGCTGGCGACTGCATGTTAAGCAAAATAAAACATTTCAGCAGTTTCATGTTTTGTACATTTCTTTTAACGAAGCAATCTACGAGCCCTGGCGTTTTCTGTTCCGCAGCAATATCTGTTCATTTTCTTATTGGGACACTCTACGTGCACAAACATACAAAATCACGGAAAAACACTTACATCGCTCAAGCTCACCTAAACACCACCACTTAAGATGATATGACAATAGTCGTATCAGATGATGAGATACGACGGGCCGGTCGTACACAGTACGAGATGCTGGCCCGAAACACGGATGCTGGCCTGGCTGAAATCCGATCAGAGCAAACTATCACGCCTCCGATCGCTGAGACATGGCATGCCAGTTTTACATGCTACATCATTTGTTGGCAGTTTGAAATAGTTTGCCGTTGTCTTTGTTGGCACGTGCGGTATGCCGCTTCCCTAAGACAAAAACCTATCGCAGATGTTTCGCTTTAGCGCTACGCATCTCGTAAACTTGAAAATTGAAACTGTTTGGTCAAGCTGATTTGAATCTATTTGATACTGTGTGCGAAAAGTCTTTCCAAATCAACTCTTCGTAGATGATTGAAGCTGATGATACCTAACAATGTAAGAATTAGATCCAATTTACAGCTATCCCAACAGCATTAAACTGCGCAAAGCAACCATAAAAGATCTAGGTTCAATGAACTTCTGCATAAAACTTGAAACGTAGAGGTTCAATTAACTTACCTACCGGATTAGTGGCAACACCAAAGAGTCCGATGCACATGTAGAAGCCCGATATTACTAAGAGCTTTCCAAGCCGCGAAATGATCTTGGAGCCTTTGGAGTTTTGTGCCTCGACGATGAGATAGTACAGGTAGATACCTAAACAGACTGCAAACGCTTGGGTCAGAATGGTATGCAAGGTGAGGTGTGTGAATGGAGGAAGCAGCACGGCCGAACCGTGTAGCAGGGCTACAGAATTATGAAACCCGCCCAAAAGATAGCACACAGAGCAAAATGGACCAAATCCAAAAGCATAGACTAGTCGCAAAATATTTGGCATACGATAGACTGAAAACAACAGTTGAGTAACGGGCATAGCTCATCGAACGTAAGAGACATCGTTTCAAGCACCTCCGTTAGAACATGATATGCAACCTTTAATTATTAATGCTAATATTAAATTTTGTAAATATATATGTATTTATATAATAAATATATTATTATAGATATTAACTAATATATAAGCTTTTTTGTAAATATATATATATATATATATATATACTATACAGACTAAACACCTTTAATTTTAACCAAGTGCATTTAGCGCCATTGTGAGATCACGTGGTAAATCACGGCTTTCCTTAATTGTCAATGATTCACATGTCGTCATCACCTCATTATTTGCCACCAAAGCATCAAAGGTCAGATTCAGGCTCGTATAAGCGAATGCGTACGTCGGTCCGTATGTTTCTGTGACTATTGGCAAAAACTTCGGATCGACTACCAACGGAAAAACGCCTGTGCCTAGCCGCGAAATTCTTCGTGATTAAAGAATCTGCACAACAAATGTATTATTTAATCATCCTATTTTTTCAACAGCAGAGATTAGCTTGAATTCGTAGCTATACGCCTCGATCTGTACTCGTGGTCAATTTCTGTAACTTGGATCCCCACTTCTACAGTAGGGAACAGATGGTGCCGCCTGGGCTCAAGTGATCTCTGAACAACTTGTTGTGACGGATTGCAATTCGCGGGTCATTAGTGTCTGGGTAAATATCAATAGATACGCGTGAGGTCGTTTGTCACACTTGAAAGCTCCATAAGTGAATGAGCCTTGAATAAAATTAGAGTAGATGGACAGAACTTTGGGCCCCGTACTAAGAGACTTGCAACGCATATGAATGCGAGTTTGCCTTCTGACCTTATAATGTACTACAATATTGTAGCAATAATAACAACACTTGGAGAAACTTTGAACTGTTGAATTTCTGGTTCGATTTTGCTTAATTCAATAAATCATCATGCACTACTTTGCTAAGAACTATAGTTCTAAGTGCTTAACTATAGTGCCAGTAGTCGAACTTCTAAATAGTCGTAGCCCGCGGGGAAATCCTGAGTTTTGCCATAAACCCTTCCGATGTACGATGTATCGTTGAAGTTTGACTATAACCTTAATCGAATGCAGCGGAGGCGGTCACAAGATAGGCGATGAGAAGCGAAAACAGATAAACTCGATAGATACGATAAGATGAAATGACCACGTTGCTTCAGGAAATTGTAGATACGATACTTCAAACATGCTAAGAATGTGCAATGAAGCCTATCTAGTTGAACGAAAAGATAAACACAAATCGTGTCGCAAATACACCCTTTGTCCAGCCGTCTATTACGACAGACGGCTGGACAAGACGAAGATTTACATTATCTCAACAGGAAGGCAGCAAGTTTGGTGGACTATGCACTAACTGGGGCAAATTTGTGCCCAGGCAATCACTCGAAATTGGATTAGTTCCAGCACAGCAGCTTATGCTTCTAAGATTCTGGGGATGGCACTTATTGCCACATGGATGATTTGACCTGCAGCAGGTTATATGAATATATCTAAGTGTTTGACTGCCTAGCACTCATTTAAGCAACTCGTGTAAATTTGGTGAAATTTAAGGAGATGTTAAGTGAATTGCAAGTATACATAAAAAAAAAGAACGAGTTTTTCTTTTCTCTTTAACCTCTAGAATTAAAGTTACACAGTAGCATCAATAAAGCGTAAAATTATTTTCGAAATCTAGCTTCCTTTGCTTATTTTTCAGGCGCATTTTTAACACTGATCCCGCACTAGATTTAATTTGTTTCTGTGTGCAATGATCAAATGAAGGACTAATAAGACTTTGCTAGTTAAGCTACTTACACATGAGTCCGACGAGATTCATGCCCATGGAGAAGATGGAACTCTGAGGTGGGTCACCGCCTGCGTCGGATATATAGGGCAGCCAAGCTGGGACATCGCCTTGATGCACTGCGAGTCCATACGATGTGAAAATCGATAGAAACGCAATCATCATTCCCAACAGGGGCAGATAATGAAGGTTTTGGAGAATGACGAAGCGCGTGTTTGCATCCTCCGAATCAGAATCACGTGTCTGACTACGGCTGCTGTGAATGTTGAAAGTGTTCGCTAATTTGATTAGGGAGCCACCTGTAGTCCATGTGTAATAGTTCGATTTGCTTACTTTAAAGTGGCCCTGATTCTCCCCTACCCTTATTCCCGTAACGCTTCGTGTCTAAACTGTATTGCACGAATAAAGAACAGCCAGTATTAAAAAGGTCAGCAAAAGCTCTTGAAGAACTTTTCTTTAATACCATTTATCCAAAGGCTTCATACGTTTTTAGCAACGGGATATTGAAACAGTCACGTGACTATACGCAACTCAAAAAGGCGAGCAGCGCTACATCGTAGAAATAAGTTCCCGCGTATCCGATACGCTATTAATGCCGTATAAGTATTTTCTAGCAAAAATGTCTAAATAATTTTATTCTTTAGCAAGGGGTTGCGTTTTCCTTATAGATGATGAGGCTTTAGTCTAAAGTGATCATCGTTCAAAGTAGCGTTTGAACTCTAGCCTCAGTGTGTGGTCAGTTTATGGAACATCAACACTTAGCCAGCGTCTTTACGTCTTGATTACTACGTCCTGTTATTACCTTAAGTTAAAGTTCCAACACTACTCTAGGTAGAACTTGGAAAGAAAATCATACACGATATCGCCTGCCAATGTTGCGTCTAATTGTAGACCGCAATAGCTCTCAACAAAAGCCTCATGCACCTAATTGTAGGCCTATTATATTACAATCGTAGGTCCTTAGACCCAGCCATTACTTCAAATTTCAGAGTAGAAATGTTTGTTCTATTGAATTGGTGTAAATATACAGGAGCTTGCAAACTGAGTTGCTGTAGCAATAACAGTTCAATAACAGTATACGTTTATTTCAGAAGTGGTTCTACTAATCGTACGGATAATTGTTCAAGTACGAAGAACTTCTGATATTAGCTGATTTAGCACATTGAGGATTTCCTCACCTTTGGTTGATTGCAGTAGAAATAACGGAAACATTTTGAGTTAGGAAGTGATCTTACATAGCATATTTGGTTTTTTTTGCCTGAAGCAAGCTTTATGGGAAATACGAGAGTATGGAATTATGCTAATCCATCGTGTGAAAATTGAAGACAACACCTTCCATTAGACGCATTACGTCATTTCCGTATCAATTTTGCTTCTACTGAAGTTCACGTGCTCTGAAGCCAGCGAAGGCTAGCACACACAAAAGGAGACAATAAGATAATAAATTGTACTTTCTGGCGTACTACATAATAATAACAACAACATTATAAATTATCTGGGAGCAATTTCTCATAGTCCATTACGATGCTGTATATGGAGAGAACAAAAAAAAATAATGAATAATAGACACTGGCCTCGATTTGCGAGTACAATAGAGATATACGATGCGGATATCTTCTCGTACATCTTTGGCCTCCGCCGTTGATTCTTCTGGAATTATTTAAGGATTCCAGATGGTGAATCACTATGGGAACAGCTTTCTAGCAAGAATCTCGATTTTTATATCGAGGTATATATATATATATAGATCGACTCTTTTTGCGTAACACTTTCAGGTAACTAGTTTTCTGTTTGTCTCAAAAGCGCAAATTCTTTCCCTGCAAACATCTCTTTCAAAAGCCAGCTATAAATTAACTCTGTGAGGGCATCGCAGCGAGCGATGACCATTATCATCGACGTTATGGCAACACAGGAAAATCTCTTTTAAGCGGAAGGCAATCAGTGGTTGATTGAGCACATTGATTCCTCAACCTTCGATCGGTAACGATCCGCTTTCGTGTTCATCAATGAATAAAAACCTAGCGATGACCTTCATAGAGTAGCAAATATTTGACTCCCTCATACGAACGTTTGTTCAAAAAACATTTTGGGCGAAAGCAAATACTAGCTGGCGGCTAACTAGGGCTAGGGAGCTGATAGAGACGACAACGATAGGGTCATATTGGCGTCAATGCAATTGGCATAAACACGATTCATAGACAGAATATGTTTGTCGCAAATGTTATGTGTTCACATGACAACAAACTATCTCACAATACGTAAGCAGATTAGGCCTAAACTACGAGGATTTGCAACGCATCTATCGTACGAATGTAGGACACGTTCGAAACCGGTTCAGAATAGTGAAATATGTATCAGCCCAGAACATTGATGACCGATAAATACACGTTACCACCCATTCATGTTTTGTTTGCTCCTATATGGTCTTTGTCAGCATATATATTGTGTGAATCTACAAGCTTCAGTAATTGAGAAAATGTTCGTACTTTGCCGGCGGTCACATATTTTCTTATCTACTTAAGGAACTAAAAAGGATACGATATGTCATAGGAACATCTACGTTTTTACTAAAGCACAAAAATGTTCGTGCAAATAATCGTTTTAAAAAATGCTCGGCTTTTCCCTATTACACGCTTCTTTCGAGGCATTCTAAAGCAACAGTTGCTTGTGAATTTATTGTTAAGATCATTAGTAATTGACATACAAAATGGAACTGTTATCTGAATTGTCATTCGTGTCCAAAATGACATGGACCATGGACAAGGAGGAACCTTAAAGGCTCTAATCAAGGTCAGCTTCAGACCTAGTCGGTTAGTTTCGTATGGCCTCTGCTCAGTCCGCAGACAGAATTTGTTACTTGACCAAAATCATTTAAGCTCTATAATCGCGCTCGGCTCCTCCTTACTCAACATACGGTTTCGAGACTGCCACAAATGGGTGAGTTGAAAATAAAATTTCAGCCAGAAAGCGGAGCGCCACATTGGCTTTAAGGTAGCTAGCTATACTGCTGGGAAAGGGCGGGTTATTAATAACAGATTCTTTTTTTCGGTACGCTATATAGTCAAAATAATATAGGCTGTCATATTTTCAAGTTGGGGCTACAAAAAAGCCTTATTGTACCTATTTTTTTGACAAAATATAGAATAGATCCACGCGTACACTTTAAGATTTCGTCGAAAAAGAGAACCATTTCAAACTTACCTAAGGTCGATCGTAACGTCCCTAGCAGCTGTATTTACCCAAACCATTTGGTTCAATCCGATATGTTCCGCCTTAGCTTCTCTAGCAGTAAGGATACAACGTCATGGGTTAAAAAGTAGGTTTTTCTCTGTCTCCCTTTATATACGATCACTGTTTAATGATCAGCACATTGAGTAGCGATGGAACATTTCTGATTCCAATTCCACTAAATCCATTAAAATACGCTAGTCGTAACAGATTAGGAATTATCAGCAGAGCACTCCGTAATCTGTTCGTATACCGGAACGTAGCTTTAGCAAAACAACTCGTGTAAGCCAATCACTCGAGCACTGTCCGTCATATATAATTTGATATAACTAATATCAGCATCGATCAACGGCAGATGCGAGATATTGCACGAAGCAAAGGACAAATGAAAAGTTTTTTTCCTCTAGGTGATCGACACAAGAAAGGGCCGTGCCTGTCGTGTTGGACACGCCTTCGCAAACTCAAAGGACCAAGTGAGGGACACTGTGGCATCTGTGCGAAATATATAAGGAAGAGCGTCAGAATTTTTCGTAAGCGGTGGCGATAGTCGTTCGCGCAGAGAGGGTAAAATCACTCCGCTCCTGTAGACGGCATCGCGTCGAGACGTCATGCGCTTACTAATAAGACCAACGTTAACCGTCAGCTAACAGATCAGCTACAGCAGACGAGCCATATCGAGAATGGCTGCAGATTGCCAGCTGGAATAGTTATCCTGTAGTCCGCTTCACGAAAAGCGAAATAGCGTGTGGATTCGCACGTTTAAGGTTTTAAACATGTATACATGGTAGTGTTTCTATATCTGCTTTGCGAAGACATCGGGTATTGCATTTAGTACCGATGAGGAATGACTCTAGTAGTATCAGTACAATATGCTGCATGACAGCGACAAAGGCTCGTGGTTGAATTGATGACTGCCGAGAAACAATGATTTATCTGTGACAGGCATGCAGAGTCTTCAAGAGCGATCAAAAAGAGAGAGAGAGAGAGACTTGTGCTATGCACATAAAATTTATCACATTCAAGTACGCGGACGACGGTGATATAGCTGAGGGCGTCGCTATGCCTTCATCTTGAAGTGTTTCCGAAGGCATATACTAGCTAGACTTATGCAGATGTGGCGAACTGTATCGTAACCCTGCTTTCAACGACGAAATTCTATGGGTAGCATAGCAAAATTCCCTTGATAACGCGATTACTGAAATCATAATGGAAAGTGTTGCCATTTATGTTTAACTTTCCAATGAACAACGAAAAAGTTAGTCTTGCCACAAGTTAGTGAATCGTTATTATCTTTAGGGGGCATTCGTCTCTTTAATGTGTTTCGTAATGCTGGAAAAATTAAGATGCAACACGCGCTGTAGAGTTTTTCATGTGGTCTTAGATTAGTGTTAATGATTTTTTTTAAAAAAATTCAAAATCGCTCAGATGTTCCAGTGGCAATTCAGTGAAGCTGATTCCCGATTATTTGACTAAGCTTCGCTCTGTTTGTCTGTCTGATGCAGCGCATTTCGTTCGTACGGTCTGAATCGACCTTCTCACCATTCACCCGGTGGAGAACCATTAACGCTTTCATATTTTCATCATAAATAGTACTCATTTTAATTATTTCGTTTAAGTAACGCACTATTGCGCTCTCGTTAAGGGCTAAAAACAGAGTTACTTCAATAGGCAAGATTGCTTTACGAAAACAATCTTTGTCTTTCTATCCGTGGGGAGCCTTATCTGAATTGTACATGTTTCATATCGTATTGCTCGTACGTTCAAAACATGGACAAGGTACACTCGGAATGTTCCTTTCGTTTGAATAACAGGATCTGCTGTATAGCTACATTAGGTGGGCAGGAAGGGCTATTGTCCTTAGCGTGGCAGAGGTTTTGGATAGGATTATTTGAAGGAGGCAGCAAGCCAAACGTGCTCTTCACATCTTCTCCAATCCTTTGGAATGATCATCGATTTATGTGCGAAACGCAGTCATGTACTGATTTATTTTCGGGTTGATTTTTATGCCAAATTACATCCCTTACAGGATTATTTAAGTTAAAATGTCTATTCTTGCATTTATAGACCTTTTCCAGTCACTGGAAATTAGTCCTTGAAAAAGAGTTGTTCAGCTCAACCGCATCAGGTTCAAGTGGCGCCCCTAGACGAATTCGTTTACCTACAATGTACACGAATGATAAGATTTAATGAGACGTCTTCTTGGCAACAAAAGTTGTCTGCAGTCTGCCGCGTTGTGAATACGAGATGAATTCGTCAATCGGCTCTACCTAACCTTCGCTCATGTACGCGCTTCGACTTACGAGTCAGTAACGCCCAACGCTTCGACTCAGTTTTAAGCCCGTGTACAGCAGACGTGCACGGATCGAGTCGGCTGCCGGCCGACGTCAGACGGATACTCGTTGATCGAAGACGCGCCCCACTGCTTAGCAAAAGTGCTGAAGGGCACCAGTCGTTATAACTTATAGCCGAGCGTACCTATCCGTATTACGCTTAAATGCTGATCGTGTATGGGATAGGTGGCTTTAGTCAAATTGCAAAAGCAGACATATTAACGCCAGGAGGGAGAAAGGAGTCAATTCTAGCAATACTAATAAGCTTCACAACAAGCCTTAAGGAAAAATTCTACTTTAATTCTCGTATAGGTCAAAATTGGATACATTCATTTAGGCTAAACGACCATAAGATACTTAAAAAATTGATATTAAAATGCGTTGTATAAGTACACTTACGAGTTGATGGGACGTGTGAAGTGAATCGCAGGCAAAGTCTCTGCTGAACATGATAACGACCCAGGTTTGGTGCCACCCTTTGAACTTCCGTCGGTTTGTCGAGAACTCCTATACCACAAGAAGAGATTTATAATATATTAGCTAACGAAATTATCATAAAATTAACGAAAAATGCCATCTAAACGTACTGACATGGGGAAAAACAGGGGCATCAATTAAGCAAATATCATTGTGGATCCATTGATAATCTACAGGTAATATACTAGGGAACTATCAATAATATATATATATATATATATATATATATATAATAAAAAAAAAGTCCCTGTGTTTATTATATGGTTTGACTGACATTTCGATCAAAAATCTAAATTAGACGGTCAATCGACACACGCTTTTTCTATACTAAAATTATCCGGCAATACATAGAGCAGCCCTAAGAATGGCACTTTGGAATCATACGTGGTACTATATCTGAAGATACCTCCTGGGTGCAGCATGCAAGACTTGCCTTCACTAAAAGGTATAGCCGGGGTGGGTTTTGCTGGGCTTATCTGGGTTTTCTCCAACAGACCCACGGAACGGCAAGGTACCTATATGCCATGGTAGCCATTTTCCAACGAAAGATAGATGCATGTTTATGATTAGCACAACAACGCACTCGAAGAGGTGCACACTGTCTGTCATGACAGGAGCAACAACACTTAGAAAAACAAATGCTGTTTTCGATATATATTTCTGTAGAGTGCTGTCGAAAGTGGCGATAAAAGGTAAATCTCTATCTGTCAGATAGAAACCCTTAAGTAATTTTTAAAGGTAGAGAAATGGTACTTTAATATGTTAGATGTGCTCGTCTTGATTGTTCACGCATCACAGCTAGTGCTCAGAGAGCTCCTTAGGAAGATGTGTGCTTGTGGATGGTATTACCGTGCCGAATCTCATTCCTGATGGCTTGTTTAAGAAAATCGCTGGCAGGATAGGCTACGGCAGCTATCGCCCTTTGTCCGATCAACGCCACATTGACTTGAATCTATGATATGAACATAAAAATTAAAGTCAATACTCAATTTACTCATTTTCCTTAATCTAAGCCTCAACTGATGTGTGAAAATGAAGCCGCGTCACGCTTACGTTGGACTTTTCAGGGACCTGAAATCATTCACCTTCCATTCCTTTTTCGGACAATAACAAATACCTCTGATATGCACTGCACGTATGAGTATCAGCCTACGCCCAAATCACTTTGATCCTGCCACCGAAGTACTTTCTATACTGTTTGTCGCTATCGCGTCGCTTGATTTTTCCGTGGTAGGCGGCACAGAAAGGCTAGTGGCCTGTTTATGGCAGCCAGGCGAATCTCTTGGTGGTGCTAGAATGCACCACACGGGCTTACGGAAGTCCTGGATTTCGTTTGCAAGAAATCCATTTTCTCCTTTATTTTCATTGTTCCATTATAGCGCTTCATTACAATTAAGTTTCAATGACGATTTGCATAGTATACGCCTCGAGCCATCTTGTACTAAGCCGGCGTAGAGCTCATTGCCCATACCCTTTTGTGCTTAAAAGCATCAGTAACTTGTTTAAATCGTTGCTTAAAAATCACCTGTCTTTAAACTTCCGCTTTCAAAAATGATCCACAGGTAACTAGCTGTTCTTCGTCCAGCGTTTACGAAGTTTCTCGACAGCGCGGTAGATTCGATCCGCACCGCCAAGAAACAAATGCTAAATCACCGAACGTTTAATGCCTTTCATAAACGATACCGTTGACCTTAAGTTCATTCTTTTTGACGTTTATCGGGTAATATCGAAATGGTCCGTGTGCAACATATATAATAAGTTTTGTCTGCCAGAAGACAACTTGCTAGTTTCGGGCTTTGTAAGGAATCCTGTATTTTATGTAAATTTTTGCTGTAATTTTCTCTTTCGATTTTTCTCTTTAATGATGAGTGTAGATGTTGTCAAATAGATGCCTCCATTTCAAGCAAGGCGCGTATTCAACGGGAGTACATCGTTAAGTACATAGTATGGCCGAATAAAAGCCAGAAAGTCGAGAGGTTTATTGAGCATTAACAACACCAATGCAGTTACTATCTGAAAAGGTCTACAAGGCGGATTTGTGGTGGTTGGACTTCGTTTAACATTGGAAAGATATTGCCAGATTTCAAACTGCTACTTGGAATTTTATGAATTTTAAAAGAAACCCAACTCTGTATTTTCTCTGTTCCAGTTCCATGTGGGCAGTACAAGCTTACGAGTGTAGATTTGACATAGATAAAGCATTCTAGTTTCTAACGAAAGGTGTCAAAAGATAAAAGGAAAGTCATTTACCGTGTACCTGTACCTAACACCGAAACTTAACAATTTCCGGGCTGCCCCTTGTAACGAGCATCACCAGACAGACTGTCTTTGAGAAGAACAAACAGAGGTACTGTACCCGAAAAAGGTGCTAACCACTTTTAAGTGAAAATCAAAGCAAACATTTTTTGCGTTTCAAAATAATATTACTAAACCGAATATTCGCCATTTCTATTTATGGCCCCTTGTGTTTTCTCTAGGGACAGCATAATTCTATCACTGTAGGATTTCTGTGGTTTGTTAACAATGGAACTAAATAACAACATTAAAGGAGCGCTGCAGGGACCGAGGGAGATAATCATTTTATAGCACCAGGTCTCATACCTAAATTGCCGAGTACCTAAAAATATATGTGGTCTAGCATTATTATGGTCGAAGACTACGCCTTTATGTTCGGTAGGTTGATTGACTTTTTTCCATAGCTTGATGTAATGTTGTCGTTAATTTGTCATCCATTTTTCGTCAGGCGTGACCAACTGCTAAGCAGAAATTAATTTTATTGAATTTTCGCAGAAATATGGTTAAGTAAATTCTTTTGCTTTTCTTCAAGTGGTTTAAAATTTTAGGGGTGTAAGTCTAGCAAATTTTTCCGTAGATGATTAACCTGTACGAGAAGCATCTGTCACACCAAAATCATTTTTAAGTTGTTCCTTCTGATGACGCACCTTGACCTTGACCTTGAACCGCATAGATTCGTTATGGGCCTTGGCAGCAGTTGTGCCTTTATTTATAACAATAAAATCAAATATTTTCTTTCAAATCTAGATCTGGCTAAAATTGATTTAGCACATTTACTACTATATAAATATACATGTGTACACATACTATCTGATCAAAACAGCACAGAAGCACACCTAAATGCTATAGCATTCTAGTTACTACGATCACACTACCACAATACGAGGTAAGTTTAAAGCAATGCCAAGTTAAGTTGATGCTTTGCTTAGCAGTTTTTTTTTGGAATATAATGATAATATGTTGCGATGCAGGCAAGTCTTCTGTTTGTTTGTTTTTTTTAAATTTCATTTCCCTTATTACACACCAAGATACACTACGAAATGTTCTATCTTTCAATAGTCAATTTCTTGTTCTGAAAAAGGCGGCTGGCGTTCGGTTCTCGAGCTCTAAATACATTTTGACATACCTTTGCAATTGCTATATGACAACAGTATGTAGTCAAGAACAAGCGTCTATTAGCGGTGCTCTGGCGATATTTCGCTCTGAAAAATCCCAGTACAAACCTGTTGTTGTTTGGTTCCGGTGAACCCCGAAAACGTATGCAGTCATCATCATCATCATCTTGTTTGGGCGTCATCTTTTTTACGGGTTGCTCTCGTGCGCAATAACTCTCCATACAGGCCCAGGCTAACAGCGTCTACTGAAATGGTTCGTTGTGAAGGGACTTAAGTTATCGGAGCCGGAGTAACTGGACTTTTGCAGGGGTCGATTTCGATGTTGATCGTCTGCGTAAAAAAGTAGAAACACATATTCTCTATTACCCATTGCGTGTTGTCGGATCACTCGTGGGGTCGTATTAGCAACCTTATCTTCATGCTTATAAAACAATCACTATCCATTGGATTTCTATCGCGTCAGCCTAGGCTGCCTGTTACGATGCAGCACTACACACGTCCATTAGAGTCCTTGAGCGAACAAGACTAGGAAGTTGCCCTACGGCAGCAGACGCAACTCTAATTAACTTTGCGATAGCTAAACTTCCGCTCGGCACAGGCAAAGGGGATTATACAATTCGCGATGGAAAAACCAAAGCACGTAACTTTCTTGATCTCATGATGCAGTCGTGCTCGGACACAACAAACTTCTCCTTACGATTTTCCCTAACAAAGGATGTAGTGTTCCGATGACAGTAAACTGGTTTCGGTAAATGCATACAAATAGAAGATAACAGGCAAATATAAGTTTAGGCGTTAGGTCGGGTATAGGGAGGACCAATTTTAAGTAGCGTCGCAGCGACATTGGAGCCTTATCGTATCGGTACCTTACTATCGTTGTCCGTCAATTTTCATTTATACAGAAAAAACAAGGAAGTTTTTTTCATACTTCGACGATCATTCGACCAGTTCTTTGATCTTAAAGTGATCCTCATATTTTTATCTTGGGAGGACATTAAAGCTTCCTAAACATTATTAGCAAACCAATGTTTAGAGCAAGGCGTTTCGTAGATAGTTTGAGTACATAGCGATCTGTTGGAGCAAAAGCACAAGGGAGCAGATATTGCTGGTGTCATATGAGGGCCGTTTTAAAAACCATATTAATATTAAAGCAAGTGGCCAGATACCAGATTTGTTAGGTAAGCTAAGATCTACAGACTGACAAAAGTTGCCTAACCTTTACATTGTCATACGTGAATACTTAAAGATGTGAACCTGGAAAATAGGAATTGTATTTTTCCTAGTAGTAGTGAAATATTCTCAGACCGAATAAATTTCTTCGATAGAAATTTATGAGAGACGATCGTATTTCCTTATATCTCAATAATCGTACCTATTTCGCTATAGCTGAGTGATCTGTGATGATGTATTGTATTAAGTTGCCTCGTAAGTATCTCGCGAATTGGTCACTTGTTGCTAACGGATTACTATGATCTTTTTTGGTCAAAATCAATTTCAGGTATTTACTTAACGTTACAAGACCTTGTGTTTTTGACATTTTTGCCTCTATCCGAGGTCGCCGAAGCATCGCGAGATATTCGTACCGCGTTCGGTGACAGCTTCGAAAGAAAAATATACACGTAAAGCAATTATTCTTCCTCAAAAATAGTTCTAGAAATTGTTTTTGAACTTGAGGCGAAACCTAACGCCTATTCTATTAATAAAAGCCGAATAAAAATATATGAGAAATGTTTGTTGACACCTGTCATACGAATGCCAAAACGATTCGGGACAAACGGTCGTAGCAAGCTTGCGGAGCGAATAAGAAGCATTCTAACGGCTGGCTACCCGTAAACCACCAACTGGGTAGAAGATCGACTCACTCAAGAGCCTTGAACTTATTTGGCAGTTCAGTATAACCAGATTGTTAAGAAAACATTGCCGGTTGCATTGGTAAGGCTCTATGTTAAAATATTCTCATGCCACATGTTATTACCTGTTGGCCAATTTACTAACGGGGAGAATTTCGGCCGTTTCCGAAAAATGACCGACCTGCAATCTGACTTGTCCTCTAGCTTGCGGAAAGGACCACCAGGTAGATAAGTGTATTGAGTCTTTCGATAAAGGCGAACATTGTCAGTGGGCGAGCAACGTTGTACATCAACTAATGCATCACCGTTGTTCATTGAGTCTATCTATTGATAGGTATAATAGTTCATCCTGAATGTACGTCATATAGCTCATATAAGAATTATCGAATCAATTGGCGCAGTGCAGGTTCTGAAATCATCAAGATGATCTTCTTTCGGATGTTAAATAACTCTATAATAAATATAAATATAAACCGATTCAATCTAATGAAAATAACTGCAGGTTAGGTATTTCGCACAGTAAACCGCGTCAGACGTAAAGCTCAAAGGAAGATACATCTTCACAACCTGAAATTTTCTTCGATAAGTGTCAGAATCCGATATCCGAAACGATAATAATTTACCAGTATGCTGAAAGCAACGTCAGAAATCAAAGTTCTTACTTGCACCAGTGACTGTCTTTGTTTATCCCCTATCGTCTGATGTAGGCAAACGTAGCCCATGCTCGAGTACAATCCCTGTTTAGATCACTGTTAACATATAAAAAAAAGTTACTTTTTACACATACAGATGAAAATCGGTGTATGAGCAATCTGTATCTATTGGCATGAATAATTCGAAAGTTTTCTTACTGTATCTTCTCCGTTTGCTCGCAAACTCTCAGACGTCTTGTTAGCTAATTGATAGTCTTGACGCACTGCGGCTGTACTTGTGACAAGAGTCTGATCCGACTTTTATAGAAGAGAAGCTTCTTTGGCTTGTTTCACTAGCAAACAGGCAAGCACAGACGTATAAACAAAAACGTGGCTTACAATGGTGTCACATCTTAACTATGAGAAATCTAGGATTTATATGTATACGTATATATCTTCAGCTAATCTATGTGTCGCTTATGATTGAGACGTAAAATAGGCTTAATGGCGGAACTAAAAAATACGATGAAAAACGTAACGTTTAAAAATCATCCGTACATTCTGTTCACAGGGTGATACAAAATCTTTTACCTTAAGTAAACGTGGCCTATTTCTCTTTGATAGATTTGTGAACGATTGCGCTGCCGAAATTACCCGAACGTCTAGCTCATACTCGAAACACTTTGGCCCGCTCGGTGTCGTGGGTAGCGGGTGCCCCTCTGTTTTCCAGATTATGTAATTTTAAGCGCTGACATAGTTCAAAGACTGCAGGTTCAGAGAAATCTTATTATATTACAAGAAAAACGTTCGGTCAAAGTATTGTACATGCATTTTTTAAATTACTATTACTCTCAAGCATCTGTGCGAGAAGCTCTTTTCACTCTGATTCTCTCTTGTCTGTGTAACGTTGGGTTAGACTTAGAGACATGGGCGTGGAACTTACCTTTTAAAGAAACAGGTTTTTTCTAAGGTCACACAAAAAACAATATTTTGACTCACGTTTTATTATTACAGACTATAAAAAAAAAAAAAAAAAAAAAAAAAAACTAGGTTTGCGCAAAGAAAAAAGAAGATTTCGAAAATAATAGCGAGCATTGTCGCGTTGTGTTGTATATTGAATGTTGAAGATATACGCATTTTTTAGCGTTCTAGGTGCGTCAAAACATTTCGGAGGAGATTAGTGCAAATAATAGGGACTTTTACAGGCTCTTGATTTGTAGCGCGTAAAGGCTCGAAAAACGAAATCACAGGACCTAATACTATTCGATGATAGAAAAATGTGCGTCATCGTGAAAAACGACCTAAATAATGGTATCGCTATTATATGTCTAATAACGTATTGTCGGGCCATAAAATTATAGTATCAAAGGAGGCAGGGGATGACCATTTTCGACTTGTCTTCCCCGAACATCATTGCAAGTTACCAATAGACTAAACTAATAATTGAAACACACGTAATTCTATTGTATGTATCAACGATTGCTTGATCTTCTTACTTCTCCAGAAAATCAACTTTGAAGAATGTTTGGCGTTAGCCAATAGCATAGTGAAAACGAATTTTATCTATGCTGGTCCATTTCTATAATTCGCGGCCTACTTCGTACTCAACATCTGTCTAAGAAGGATAAGATTTCGGGTAGAGGTGTTCAGGATGGCAAAACGGAACTGCTAGATGTGAGATAGATAATTTAAATTGTGACATATTGTTTGCGATTACAAATAAGTTTCTTTCTATTTCAAAAATCAGGCGTATGGTATAATTAACGACGTTTGTTAACAAAATGGGTACGAACATTCTGTCTTTGACCGATCCTTCTTCATTGGAAAGTATATCTTGCTACTGTGAAAGATCACAAGTTGTTAACTATGGGCAATTGTGAACGAGGTATCTAGTTCCACTGAATTTTTTTTTACGAAAAAAATTTTTTTTTTACGTAAACGTCATTCCAAGTTGCTGGAAAGAAACTTTTATCATGTGTGAGGCACGGCAAAGGCTAACAGAACTGCCTAAGTGTGAGTTCGCCGGTGCGGAAGCTTATATAATCGTCCCGAGTCCTCTTCGCACTGGATCTGCCGGGTAAAAAGAATAAGTCAACGACGGTTTTTACATAGTGAGAACAACAACGAGTCAATATTTACGATACGATGCGCAAATACGGTGATTAGCATGGCCATTTTGGTTTATTATTATTATTATCATCATCTATGAGTGATCTCCCTAGCGAGTACGTACTCGTGCCGTCACAAGCATCAAAGATCGACATTTACTGATCTTTGGCTTGTAGCTTTCTTATATTTCTCAGCGTATTTTCTAATATTTAGTGTAATAAATCTCACTGATTCAACTCACCTGTTTCAGTCAATCGTTTATGGAATTTTATTATCCATATTATTTGCTGCTTCATGTACACTCACATGTACTATACACGGCATAAGGCGGCTTCCTTGTTTCCTACAATTGCCACAATCAGAGGCTGTGTTCGATGTCACGAGCAAAGCTACGTCGTCGGCTACGGCCCTGGTCGTGCGCATCGAACAACGTCAAAGGTAACTGGGATGGCAGCCTAATCGTCAACGAATAGAACCAACAGGAAACGCCAGCCACTCGGTCGCCCCCTCTACCAGACAGGTCTCCCCCTATCGTTCGCGCGCATGGCAAGGTATGCACCCCACAGCACGAACTGGATGAAGAGCTGTGAAGAGATATTCGGTCATCGACATCTCTTGCTTCTTCTAAGTTCAAGAAGAAATTGTACTTTGAATCCGTTTATAGGTGATGACCTTTAAGAGCGTCACGTTTCACTGCAGTGTGCGACGCAGCAACTTGTCAAAATATCCTAACAAAAGCTGAGCGTCTATGAAGATGTCGATGATAAAATAGGCAGTTGAGAGATACGGGTACTCATCAGGTTTCTGCAAATATAGATTGCTCAATAAACTATGACCTGTAAAAAGCGTTGCGCAAATTGTCCTTTTTCAAGGCTATTTTTTTTTCAAAAATGGACAAAAATATCTTCTATACGTTGATATTCAGCGCTTTTTTCTAATACACATATTCGTCGAATAGCGGATTGCTTTCTGAAGGCCGTTTAAATCTACTGTTCATTATATGAGTCTCAGCCTGGCAAAGATACTCAAACGTCCGAAAAAAAATGCTATTGAAAATTAGGGTGAACTCCTATCATGCTTACTTAAGAATGTCGACCTCTCAATAATTTTTAGGCGATTGGAAAAAAAAAATGCTTAAGTGCCGGTTTTATCCCGAGTAACCGAATGCAAAAAAGATCCAAAGTTAAGTCCACCGCAAAAGGCCAATATCGCGAACTAAGGCAGGCTGCTAACTAACTGTTACAAAGCATCATTTCCACAGCCATCTACAATAGCTCTAACGAGCGAGAACTGATTCCCGTTGCTCAATTCGTTTACAGACCGGAACGAAGCGCCGATCTTCGCTCATCGTTCGAATGAATGGCTTGTTCCGAGCTTTCCAAGATGCTTTCCCACTTCAGTGTTGGTGTTTGACTGCTCAAGTGGATTTATAGCTCTCCTGGCGGCCATACCCTTCGGGAAAGCTAATGGGAAATATTAGGCAACGCCAATACAAACTTGAGTTTTCTCATCGACATTTCGTATAGAAGCTCAATCATGTACACGTTACGTGTCTGTAAAGGTGTAGACAGCTAAAACTGATACAGAAATCGATGCCGGTTGTCGCGAAATATCTTAGACAAGTTTTTAGGACGGACCATTATATTAAATTTAAAACTATGTGTCATTCCATATCTTGAGCACGCAAGTCCCACGTTGGCATATTCAACATACAAACAATAAGATCTAGGGATCGCCACAAGAATGATCCTAAAATATAGGGGACATGTGATAGATATAGTTCTTCAGAGAACGCACCGTTCCAACTGGACCTTGCTCTAAAATACCCGAATCCGTATAGGAGACGACTCAAGGCCGCTCGTGGTCTAGGCGGCGTCGCATCCAAGTTATCAAATTTGACAAAAGACACTAACTGAGAGGTTTAACGAGGTTTGGGATGCGGTCGAGAGACGTACTGCTTTCAAATGTCGACGCGAGGAAAACAAGTTAGAAGCCTCATCGACTTGATAATTGGAGGTGGCAACGTCTTACAAATCTTCGGGACGAATACTAGAACATTTTACCAAACAATCATTGAATAACAAATAGCATATTTATTTCTATGCGTGCGTCTGACAAAAAGAAAACCTTTCAATGATAAATTATAGTTGCACTTTTCTCTCTTTACCCTACTCTTGACCCCTTATAGCGTTCCGGGTCCATATATATATATATATATATATATATATATATATATATATATATATAGGAAAGGAAACAGAGGATGCGAAAATTAATTGGTAATAATGCAAATATTAGGTCATAATGAATGATTTAAATATACTGTGATTGTGTAGTAGAATGAAAAGATTAGCGTTTTGTTCTTTTGATTGCCTCCCCTCCAAACCAGATACTTGTAACCGGATTTAAGGCAAGCAAATGAACCTTGGTGGGCAATTCTCTGTACTGAATATATTATGATATATCATATATATTCTTTTATGTATAAAGTTATATAAATAGGTTTTCTTTTGCCATAGTCGTTTGTTCTGACTTTTACCATGTGATAACCACATTGACAGGTGAAAGAAGACCGTTCTATAACACATATTATCCAGGTGGGGATTTTCTATTTAAGCTGAGAATTGTACGGTAGCATCATATTGCGGCTTAGATGTTGTATCGATATCGTACGACATATACGAGTATGAAAATGCGCACTTCATGATTTTGGTGGTCCAAGGTAAGAAATGATCGTTTGGCCAAGGGTCCTAATAAACATTTTACTTTTTTGGGCCAAAAACAACATGGCTAGGTAGAAAAATTAGGATAGAGATTTAACTGAGTCACAGATTATTACATTTTGTTCCATTGATTATCTCAAAACCCACAGACCAGTACAGGCTCGTTTATTCGTCATAATATCGCGTTTGGTTTTTCTCCTTTGAAACTCTACGTCAGTTTGGTAAGACATTTGATTCTCTAACGATCGCGGATCCCTCACAAGGCCTTCATCGAGAGAGACTCTACGAGGATATATTGTGTAACTGGTAGATGAAAACTTATCTTTGACGTAGAGTTTGGGTTCGCTTTTACAGTACTTCCACGACACCCTCGACAACATGCCGTGCATGCATTTTTAAATGTCTCGTAAAGAACGCGGATTGCGTATGAAGTCAAACAGGCGAACGGCGCAGAAGACATAACCAGGTCTGTTGTTAACTCCGCTTCTCACTTACCTCTAATTCACTTGCTATAAGTGGTCCGTGATTGAGATCGCATCTAAAAGGAAAGGCATCGACCGTTTCGAACGTAACATCGAAACCAGTTGGCTAGCAACGGACCGTTCGGACGAGATCGAATCAGCCAACCGCCATTCAGCCGCCTGATATAAAAAAAATCAGTCTAGATATTCACAATACGCCCTGAACTTAAAAGTCTCTATACTTTTATTATACTACCGGTCTATGTATCGATTCTGTAGGTGATCAGCAATAATGATAGCTTGTAAACTAGCTTTACGATTTCAAAATGCGTCTATAGCATACACTTTGAAAATGTATGGATATAGGTAAAAAAAAAATGTTTTTAAATTTCTAAACATACCTTGACCAGTCCGTGATGTTCGACATAGAGAAATGTCTCGTTTTAGCCTTTGACAGTGTTTAAGACACTTATACTGAATATGAAGTATGCGAACTTCTACGCAAAAGACGTTAGAAGTAGTACGACAAATGGTCGCTTAAAAGAAAGGTGTTCTCTTAGCGCACTTTTAAGGTAGAACTTACCTTGTTGGTATTGTTTTATTACTTGGTCTATTGTTATATATATCTATCCGTTTTGATTTGAGCTTCGAAAAGATGACGTGCGTCCTATACTGGCGTTAGGCGTTCTTCCTGAGCAGTGTTTATGTCCGATAAATTGTTTTCAAGTTAGGTAGACAAAATATGTTGCTATGGTACCCTCATAAGTGTACATTTCAGATGTTTTTAGACAGGGGTGTTTCTGCATAAAATTCAATTAATATACAAAGAGCTTTTACGTTGTGTTGGGCATCTTAGCAAAGTACATTTAACGCGTTTAGATTTGCTCTGTTCCTCCATTAGTCATAGAATCAATTTACGGCACAAAGGCAATCGAAAAATCAACGCTGATCATTGTACACAGTCTGTGACTATTTATCGGCTTTTGGATATTAATATCCGAAAGATAGATATATATATATATATATATATATATATATATATATATATATAATGCTGTTTTTTTTCTCATCGAACAAGAGAAAGTTTCCGGTAAACGATTAACGTTCAAATCCGTTTTCCCTGAAACGCAACTCTCCCAACCCTTTGGTTTGGGTGTGGTTAGCTATTGAAACATGAATCAGTTCACACTTTAATATCTAATGCCTCAGTTAGAGGCTAGCTGATGATTTATATATCTCAGCATTACTAGGTGTGCCCTTCTGAACCTGCAATAAGAATGCCCATTCACTGACTTATATTTATTTATGCAATAGATTGGATTATCAAGTCCTAATAAAGAGTCACAGAATGTTGAACAGTAGAAGAAAGACTTACTCGAGATACATTTTGCCCTTGTTCATCCACCTTAGGTTTCGGGGGTCGAGCCTTATTTAGGTACGTAAACCTATACCAACCGCTATGTCGAGCGGATAGGTTATGTTTTCTAGTCGAAATTCTGAGCGAGCAGTAACGCCAGCCAAACTTCGAGCACGATTGATCGACCTGTTAAACGACACAGAAGCGAAATTATTTTCAACATACCTACGTAGCACCTCGGACGTAGAAGGCCAGCGATTGTTCACGGGAGACTGCATAGTGTACCTATTACGGCGCCCATATTCATAGCTGCAGAGTAAAACGAACGACAGCAACGTATCTCATTCGAATCATACGTGATCCCGTGTGAATAGTATAGATCCGTCGATGTTTTCCAACGTAGCCAATAACTAAGATCGCACAAATCACAGAGCAGTGTATCTGTCGCCTGTCTTGAGATTCTCGCCCGAGAGTTACCACTCATTGGGCGACTAATCTTGTTCTCGCTATAATACCGCGATGTATTCTATAGCAAAAAGGCAAAATATCATTCAGCTCACATAAACGATCCAAGAAAGCATCTTTTGGACAGCTGAAGTGTGCTACATCTGTAGTTACACTGTTTCTCTAATGCTCTCTGGCCTATGAGGTTCAATATGCTACTGATACTCAATGTGCATGTAGATGAATCTTCAGAATTCTCATATTAATCTATTTTAGGCTATTTTTTCTATCACTGTCGTTTTGCTTAAAGTCTGAGTTTATTCAAAAAGAAGCAGAACATTTAGCTAGAATAAAGTCAGATCAAAACGCCTGGAGAAAGTACTCCTCAAGCGCCCATGCAGATTAGACTATTTTTCTTAAGATGATCAGAAATCAATTTTATTGGAATTATTGAAAAAATGAGTACGACCACAATTTAAGTTCTAAACAGGTCAGGCGATACAAATATGTTTTGTCGCTTGTTGTGACCTAGTAAAGTTTTATATGAGAGCAGATGGCAACAATAAGTGGCAAAAATTTACATGTGACGTACCTATAGACAGTCTTGAAAATGGTTAGTACTACTACTACTACTACTACTACTACTACTACTACTACTACTGTGCTTAGGTACGGCTCAGCGAGCGAATTGTGTTAAACCCAACATGTGTGAAGAAACCGATCACAAAATAAACACGTTTTTATAAAATCTAATATAGATTAAAAGAGAAGTGATAACGGTTAGTAATTTTGAAAGATGTGGCTCACGTTTTCGAGTTGTTTATTTACGCTAAACGAAAAACAGGATGTGAAAAATCAACTCCTGTGTTTTTCCGTTGTGATACACGAAATGGTGCTTTGGTTTGGTGTTTAAATTGCGGTAAATTTCTGTACGATATAGTGCGATAGCTTCAACGATGAGAGGATTGGTGGAATAGGACAAGATAATACAATAGCATAACGTACCGCCTTGTAGAATGCATAGGTGACGCAGGTACAGCTTCGACAAGAAGACCGTAACAAGGTAACAAAGCTAGCCGGTAACGGACTACCAACACTACTATAACAAAATGATAAAATAAATGCAATGCCGAGATAGGTCGATAAAAAGAGACAAGAAGAGTACTGTGTATCGTCTCCAAAAATTGAATGGGTGCGCTAGGGAGTAAGCTACTGGCTACCGCCGCCCTGTTTTGAGTCAATGATAGTATATATATATATATATATATATATACTATTAACTCAAAGATGGGGGTGAAAGTCTTCATTTTACGGCTGTACAGTCCACATGTCGCTTCCACACCAAGGAACGAGAACATGGAAAACTCTTGCTAGTTGTTCGGAGCGACTCCACTCAACCATAGTTAACTGCGCTCTATCAGTGCAGAGGCGAAATCGCAGGATCAGATGGATCGGCCGAGGCATCAAACAGATCTTTCTAAAAAGACATGCTCTGAGAGTCCTTCGCATCGACCCGCGGCCAAATTCATAAGTAGAACGATCATGTTTAAACGCACAATATATCAATAGTAAAGACATCTATTAATGTATTGTATCACATAATTTATTAAACCATTCATTATAATCGTGGTCACTTTATCAGTTCAAGCCTCTTTCGTCCTCTCTTTCTCTTTGTTATTCCCGATCCACACTATACAAATCTTGCCTAGCTAACTTCATTTATTCATACCTTCTATATATATATATATATATATATTCAAGTCGCTATGGTTCTGGACTCGCCCCTTTTTTCGAACTGCTCTTTCTCTCTGATTGCTTAACTATCACTTCCCTTATCATACCGTTATGATCATCGTTGTCCATCTCCTTGTTGATCCTTATCCATATTTACACATGTTGAAATCTTTTAGTGAGTGTTTGACAGCCCAGCTCTCCCCTCCTCACCCGTCATCAACAGAGGCTTGGGAGAAGCCCGTCAAAATTTATTGAAAATCCTCAATATATATATATATATATTACGCCATGCTTTTCCTTTTTTCCCTCGATCAATCGTGGATTTAGATGACACGCTTAACGAGATATCATAGCACTTTTGTCTTGTCGACTCTCTGGTTCTGCTAACAGACAGTGGTACGCTCCGCCCACAAATTATATATACAACAATTGAATCACATTCGATACATCCTCGCGAACTCACTATCTGTTTCCTCTCGACTGCTCTGCGTTTCGTAGCACTTAATAATAGAGACTCATCAAATCGATACTATTATATCTATGGCCCTAGCCGTTTTGCTCTGTACTCGCACGCTCGTTAATCAGCGAGCCCTGAGTTCTACTTAATCGAACGTTTTCATTTATTTATTTTTGTTATTGTGTCTTTAACTACTCGAGCAGCAGAAACAGCCATAGTTGCAGGAGAGTCGTTATTTGCAGAAGTGCATTCCGAACCGTGGCTTGACCGATCAGTCGTCTATCATCATCGTCGCGCCGCTCGCTAAGAATAACTTGAAGTTACTAGCAAACGCACAGCCCTGTAATGTGCATGTGGCTGCACGTTATCGTGGGTACGTAGAGCATTGTGTTTTGTACCGATTGTGCAACAAAAAATCTATACGGGTTTTTAGCGATACGTTTGTTATTGTGTTCATGCAGTTAGAGCTATCGTTAATGGGTAGAGATGGAAGTGAAGCTAGCGCGTTCAATTGACGCCATTCCTGTCACGTATGTCTGACATGTCTGGATTACCGCAATGACTGCACACCGCTTCTCCGTCCTCGGGATATATGACATTTATGTACAGTGATGGTAGGTAGCATTTGCCGAATCTCTGCGTTGACTAGTCGTGGTATTGAAAGAGAAGTGTCCAGGTTCGATTTTGCATAGTGCTACACTTACTCCTACAGTACGCTGCTTATATGGGCATTCCGCAAAGGAAAAGTCGACACTAAATGTTTAGGCAATTTTTTTATAGGACGCTTGTGGGAATAAAGTCCTGGTCTCGAAAGAAGGGCAGTCTGACTAGTCGGAGAATGCAGGAGGCCGACACGCACATTCCATACTTTTATATATTATTTAGACTAGACTCTTTCTCCAGGTTTAAATAGGCTTTAAGCTGACGTTTCTCCAGCGTTACGGATTCAACTTTGCCGATGGCCGCCGTACCCCAACAAGGACTCAGGGACAAAAGCAATGCGTGATGTTGATTTTGCTTCCAAATCATTGTTGAAGGATTAGTCTAATATTCGATGACGTATAATGACGCACATGGATCAAATCAGCTTTCGGCCTCGCGGGTCTAGTAGGGCATTAACCTCTGTTATAAATGGACTGAAAGCGGACATTGTCAGATAGACGGACATCACCGGCGAAAACGTATCTATTCAACGGAAAGCGAGATGCTCGGATTGAGGAATATCACGAAGCAGAAGGATATTGTCAATGACTGCTTTGCCTCGAACGTCCCGAGGGTTTGTTTTAACTAAATTATTGAAATCTGTTCTAGAGCTCAAACAAGTATCTCTTTGTTTGTATATATGGCACGCGAAAGATTTTATCCTTTGTCACAATTGACAAAAGTACCATTAGTTCAAGGAGTGATCATTTCCGCCTGCTGTCACACTTCGTGCACGCTCCTATCCATAAAGAGGGCTCGATGGGTTATAACGTATGTATCCCCAACGAGAGGAAATACACACATATGGCCCATTAATAATAATCACTTGCTAAGTCTGATTATACGCGCCTTATCGCCTAAATCATATAATGGCGTCTACGGAAGTGTATGTGTACAAATTTAATGGCTTGATCTACGCTATTACGAGACTGGAGGTTTCTTCAAAAATCTACATCTTATAGCATCTACTAAGCAAAGCTTTAGGTCAATTGTAGAGGTAATAATAGGATTTCGTGCTTGTGATGGTTACGATTGATAGAAGTTGGTCGCTGAAATGTTATGGTACGCCGCTGCATTTAAGTTTTGTACACGTATTTGAGTAGATTTGTCATCAGTTCATCGTTGTTATCAGCGTTGCCGTCTGTCTTATTGATGAAAGAAGTAGTACGAGATTCATTCGGAGTATCCATTAACACCGAGCGTTCGCCTTGAGACTATACACAAAATGTATTCACTAGTGCATGGCGTATATGCATAGCGGACTCAGGGTAAAAATGCGGAATGCATGGGAAACGCTTCTTAGGGCGTTTACGATGATGACTGCGGTGGTGCCTATGTCAGTATTATAGAAAGATGTTTCACTATTTCAGCACGAACATATGTAATGATAGTAAAACGTCACACCGACGCTTGCTCAACGTTGTGGTCAAAAATTCGTGTAGCAATGACGTGTTAGTACTGAGCTGTTCGCTTCGGCAGCGTCGACCTCAGAAAGCCAAACTCACGCTCGCTACGAGATGATGCCTCGTATATGCAGATGGTACAAATGAGTAAGTTCGCGCATGATATATATATCTATATGTAGAGACGTCCAGAGGCAAGCGTAACTTCTGTTCCTGCTTCCAGTCCCTTTCCCCTCTCTCTCTCTCTCTCTCTCTCTCTCTCTCTCTACCTCTCTTATACATTATATATATGGGTGTGTGCATGTGAGTGTGTGTGTGTGTGTGTGTGTGTGTGTGTGTGTGTGTGTGTGTATGTGTGTGTGTGTGTGTGTGTGTGTACGTGTATGTGTGGTGCCTTATTCTTCAACGATTCACCGACGATTTGACAATAGGATGGTAGCTCTGTATTGATTTATGATTATAATAAATAGGGGGGTAGGTTTTTATATTTACTGTTGATGATAATGTTTTTGTTGTTATGTCGTCTCTGACGCTGTAGTGCACCCATGCGGGATAATGATGAACGGAGGGGCTAACTCAGTGACGAGGATAGCATGAGTTAGCTCCCGCACGGGTCGATCTCTTCGTCATCGTCCTCGTCGTCGGAGTGCAGCTGTTGAAGTGCAGCTGCGGCACGCAGTTGCAGCGTAGGCGGGAGCGTCGAAGGGGTGAGTCGTTGGTCGCCAGAACCTGGCGGCACCTGCAGGCACTTCGAGATGTTCTCGGCTGATGTGAGCGGACTGCGACACGGGCTGCGCGATGGCTCCAACAGGGAACGACCACCGTGGAAGCCAGATAGCCCAGACAGCTCCATTTGCCTATAGTAACGCCGACGGAGAAATAAATAAACCAAAATAATAATAATAGCAGGTGACATAACTTAGTAGACATTTTTGAGGTAGATTAATGGTAGGTTTACATTGAATGGACATATGATAGTTGTTGGTTCGGTTCGCAGGCGAGGTGCGGGAGAAAATTCATAATAAAATAATATTAGCCTATATGATATTTGTTATCTATGTGAAGCGCGCGTTGAGATCTCCTTCTTTACCTCGTTCGAAAAAAATTTCCGCTAAAGCATACAACATGTTTTCGGTTGCTTCTCCTCTTCATTGTCGGCTATTTTGTTGTGGTACCTTCAGATGACTATACGTAGTTTGCGTCCGTTTCGATGATTGATACACTACTATACCTTAATCGAAGTTCGGCCGGCGGATGGGGCGGTGGTTGACGCCCGGCAAGGTCCGGAGCGCCGAAAGCGGAGGATAGTTCTGCACTGACAGCTGCGGCGGACGAAAGGGCGGCGAGCTGGTGTAGGTGCTGTAGCTGGTGCGAATGGCTGTGCGAGTTGGATAGGGAATTGGTATGGTGAACGCTATGGGGATGATGCGCCGGTGGTGGCGCTTGCAGTTGCGCCGACACCTGCGCCGATAACGCCGACAGAGCTGACGCCTTGTGGGCGGCAGCTGCGGCGGCTTGTTTGGCAGCCTGCGCCTGGAGCTTGCTCTTCGCCTTTTCTCCCATCTTGAGTTCGGCGGCTTCGGCGTTCGAAATGCCGTCCTGCTTCTTCCATTTGGTGCGCCTATTTTGAAACCAGATTTTTACCTAGAAAGGGACATTATACAAAAGAAAATGTGTGAACGGATTGGTGTTAACACGCTTTATGGCGATGATGACAATGGCTAGCTTCTTTTGTTTCGAGGTGAATATAAGAAGAAGGATATAAAGTTGATAATTACCGTCCCTTGTTAAAAAACAAAAATATACATTATTGATTGCTGAGTATTTTTGGCGCTATCTTGTAAGTTTGCCGTATTTCTTCTGTGGGTATTTAGCGGATAGTGGTGGTCAAGGCGAGATAAACAGTCATTGAAAGATGACCGTTTGTTACTACCAAGTGCTATGTCCATTTAATCGTACCGCCCATAGTCATCGCTCGCAGCAGACCATCACTGGTACGGGATACATCAAAGAAGTTTGTTAAGAATAACAGTGATGTCGGACAGCACTAATATTAGCAGCATAAGTTATAAAACTAATGAAATTTGGTGAGCCACTTATTACTCTCTAAGCCCACGTCGAGCTAAGTTGTAACCATCCTAGCCAGCAGCCAGGCCACTGTTCCCTCACACAGTCCTCTCTTCCGCCCTTTTGTTTTTTAGCGTTCGGCACTAATTTGACGTGACTGATTATCAACCAGTTAATTGATCGGTAGTGCGTATAAATCGATCGCATAATATGTCGTGTATGTCTTACCTGACGTGGCCTGGCACTGTTGACTTATTCAGTCACGTGGTGGACCCTATACTCTAGTTAGCTGGTCGATGACGTTTATCGAGAGAAATATTTGTAGCGTATTAGTTGTACTGGCCACTAGATAAGGTTTATGAGTTACGACTACGACTACGACTACAAATCATTATGTGGCCCAGTGGGCGGTAATAGTTAGTACCGTTTGTAGTGGTTATTACACGTACTATTTGTTTTTTTCTTTCCTTCTCATGTGTCGTGTAAGTACGTGCGTGATGGCTGGAAGGCATCCTGTAATTCTTGCTAACTTGCCGATTCTTTTAGATGCCCACAGGTCCAAGCATTGCCCGCTTTTATCTGCTGCTTGAGCGTCATTCAGACGCCGACAGACAAACACAGACACCCACAAAGCGGATCAGAGTTTTGCCGCTACTCGCTCTCCCGCTTACTTTCTGCCCGATAACCACTGACTGGTCGATCGTTTTTCCATCAATTGTTAGCGTTACCACCGTTGTGTACGACAATTTCTTCTGTTCATTTCTATATCTATCTGTATTTATCTGTCGGAAATCGTAAAGAAGGCTCAATGGCGGCAGTACGCCGGAAAGGGGGACAGTGATCTACTAACTGATAGAGAGTTCTATGTTGGCTGTCGTGATATTGCCCTTTATCGTACGGCAGCAATACCGGTGGCTGCAGCGGCGAGAAGAAAAGATCATCGGGCAGAGGAAAACATCTTCACCATCTGTCTTAGGGGTTCAGACTAGTCGTTTCGACCTCAATTGCGCTACCTCTGATTCCCAGATCGCGCCCCTTTTACTGAATTACTGCTACTGCCACGAAGAATGTCATTATTACACTCCACCATTGCAACTACTCGTACTGTTGCCCACTGGTGGCAGAGCGTGTTGATGAACTCATTGCCGACGGTGAAATGAACGTTATACAAGAGTGCCGTGTATGTGTGTATATATAGACGCTGCGTTATGTGAAAGAGAGGAACAATAAGTGAACAAAAAGCTTGTACCAATAGTACGATCTGACAGACGGGAGAATCACAAATTGGCTCGTCTCAAAGTGACTGATCATTGCGAAACGATCGATTCACCCACAGTTCAGCCCCTGATGACGTTAGCTCCTTGCCAAGGAGGTTCCGTTCTCCGTACTCAAATCTATTCTCTTTTCAGGATACCTCATCCGCTTCCCGCTTGACGCCAGCGCTGGTGTAGACTTTGGAAACGAACTTCAAGGCTTTACAGCAGCGCTGGTGATAACCGCAAATAAATTTGTGTTTTTCTTTTTAAAAAATGCTCGCTTCATTTTCGTTTAACTCAATGCGAAATAAACGAAGCACAGTTATACGGGCGTTTTTTACACGGGATGGCTTCGTGCAGTCGTCATTCAGTCGTCGGTTTTCCTTTTCATAATATCCAAGTCAAGCAGCCTTTTTATCGGTAGGAATAATGCGCCTTTCCGAGATGCCACCAAATGAGAAGCAAGCAACAAAAAAGCTTACGAAGAAAGGGACACTGCAGTCAAGACTGATCGACCCCCCTACTTTTTCGTCGTGCAGTAGCTCGATCCACAGCTATACTTTGCATGCGTTACGGGACTACTTGCTGCAAATGTGTATCGTGCGAGATGCATGTGTCTCTATCCGCGTGTGGTTTTGGAGTCTGTAAGTGCGGAAGAGGAAAATCATCCTCACAGGACGACTGAGCTGGTCGCAGCGGGAGCAGAGGTTCCCGCCTGCTACGGCAGACTGCCCCCCGGCTGGTCTGACCCCTAATTCCCACCCCATACCTAGTTTCTCTGGCTCCCTGTTCCCGCGAGCTCGTAATAAACTGAGATGGATTGCCCGAGGTATATCATCATACGTAGCCATCGGATATATTTGCTTCGCCACAGTTGTTAGTTGCTGGCAGTGGTTCGTTCTAGTATAACTGCGCCAGTATATGTCGCCGCCGTCTCCAACTCCTCGGGCTTTATTTGCTGCGTCATCAGGGGGGATGGTCCACCGGAGTTGACTGGTTCGATGTTTGGGGTCGTCACCGGCGTTTCTGCGACCGCTGTTGTTGTTGCTGGCGACACTTTATAGCACTTTTATGTCTCTTCTTGCCTGTCCTACTGGAACGGGTGAGGGGCAGGACAGTCGGCGGTCGTCAGTAAGCTAGGATTGCCGTAGGCTCCAAGTGCCTAGTCTAGATCAGAGTCAGTTCACGCAACTTGATGCTGCTACTGTTGACGTTGAAGCCGATGTTGACCAACGAATGTTTGGGCTTTGTCCTGTACGCGGAACATCTGAACATCTACTGCAAAGAATCTCATCGAAAGGAACGACGTTGACAAGTAACGTCATTGGCGAACGCGATAATGACAATAGTAACAATAACGTATATTAAAATGACACCGCTGGACCAAGCTCGTCAAAGCATTTTTCGTTTGCAGGCGTTTGGCCAAGAGGATTGCCATAACAGAACGTAACGTATATGAATATAAGGGTCATATTTAGTTTATACTAAATTGTAGTTCTATTATCCAATATTATACTGGTTGTTATACGTGCCATGGTAAATGTGTTTCCCGCTAAACATAACAATTGATTTTCACTCACGATATATGTATAAGATAGCTTAATACGAACAGCATGCGCATAACCGGCCCGGGAATTCGTCCAAACAGCAAATGACGATATAGATTTGAAGTGTAGGCAGTAAAGCACTGTTGACTCTGCGGCTTGACTACCTATAAATCTGACGCTGTAGTCGTCATAGCTGAATCATGCGAATTTCTGAGAGTCTGGCTTTAAATCTTAGTGATAGGAGGTATATGGGTACACAGAACCTCGACTTTGCAAGCAAGATATAGGTAAGTGACATCAACAAGGATCTGGTCGTGCTGAAACTGAGATCGTGACCTATTGTGTAATACCGTAACACTGCACTGCTTCATGTCTAAAAAACTAATTAAGCAATGTTGGTCAACTATCAATGATACATACGAAAATGCAGCGAAAATAGGATTCTACAATCTGAATCATACACACTCCGTTCATAAAAAAACTGACGTTTTTCAGGTGTTAATGCGGGCTACCAATCTTCGCAGAGTTTTTAATAATGGCACGTAATAGGTCTATATATATATATTGCTGGCAGCAGTATTTGTGCGTAAAAAGCCGAAGCCCAAACAGGAAACGAACAAGATCTTGCGCCAACCCCTGTGAATCTGCATTATACTGCACACCGTCACCCAGATCTATTCTCTATGTATGTGCATATACTATAACGACGAGTACCATCATGAAGCCCAGATACAGAGAAGAGCACAAGTGACTGAAGCGTTGATGTAGCCGGATCCATTGGTCAACGGAAAGGAGACTCGAAGCAGGAAAATACGACGATTCATAGCCACCGGCAGAAAGCAGGCCAAGACGGCCAAAATAGACTAGGGCTCATTATAACAACTTTGATAGCTTTTAGATAAGTCCCGTTTATAGCGCGCGAGTCACCCGGCTCTCGTTGGCGCTGCTTTGGCAACTGAGCTAGTTCCCTTCAACCTAGCAACCTCGGCCCAAAGACCACTGCCAGTTGAATAACGGGCAAGCAGTGGGCACTGAGCAAAAGGCGAGATAACAGGGCGCGTCCCTTCTCCAGAATAGATCAGGTCTTGGATTCTCCTAGTAGAACCGGCGCGATTATCCGAAATCTCTGTCGCTCGTGGAGACTTTCGTTTAGCTGGCGTGGTTCGATAGCTGCTGCATTATTAGGCCTCTCCAATAGTTTTCATCGATTTGACACCTTAAAGTCGTCTTTTCGTTAAAACGAATCACGACCAGCCGATGAGTTCATTTGAATCTGCTCCCAGAACAAATTTACGAAGTATCCACGTCAGCGTAGCTTGTACTATAGTATAGAAAGAATATCTAAAGCTAGAACTACGCGTTTGTATCGTACGTATACCTGTCCTTCATTCGAATACACAGAGAATATTTCTGTTTTTTTATTGCCTGTAATAGCGGCAGTGCTAAACTATCTGTTTATGGCATTTAAGCACCTCATCTGTAGCGACAAAAACAACAGCTACTGATAGCTAAATAGAGCTATTTATGCTAGTAATTTTCTTAGATGTGGCCGTACTGACTAAATCCCAACAGCTTTGCCAACCAGTAGCTGTAAAAACAACGCATGACCTCTTTGGCCTCTCTCGTTCACTTCTGTTACCCTGAAAATTACCCTCTGTTTCCCAGCCTTCTATACTCTTGCCACCAACTCTACGAAGGTGGACCTGTTCGTCAGTTCGGCGGTCAGCGAATAACTACTGCTCGCAAGACTAGGCAGATTTATCCATAGCGGTTC